AATAGGGTTTGCACTCGTGACTGTTCCTCTTCCCCTTCTGGTACCCCTATAATTCGAATGTTGGAATGTTTAAAGATGTCCTGGAGATTCCTAAGCCTCTCCTCATTTTTCTGAATTCTTGTTTCTTCATTCTTTTCTGTTTGGTCATTTTTTCCTTCCTTCTGGTCTACTCCGTTGATTTGAGTCCCAGTTTTCTTTCCATTACTGTTGGTTTCCTGTGCATTACCATTCATTTCAATTAGTTTAGCTTTCATATGTTTCTCTAATCTGTGACTATAATCAACCAGCTCTGTGAGCATCCTGATCACCAGTGTTTTGAACTGTGCATCTGAAAATTTGGCTATTTCTTCATCACTTAGATTTATAGGCTCTGGGGCTCTGAGTTGTTCTTGAGCCATTTTTGGTCTCTTCGTGCCCGTTAAGTATGAAGAACGGAGTCTTAGTTGTTCACCAGGGTGAGGCCACTCAGGTCACTGATTTGTCATGCTGTATGCGGGGGCAGGGTCAGAGAGGGAGCAATGGCGGTCCTCTCCGCTCGCCAGTCCGTCTCACTGCCCTGGCCCATTTATCCGAGTGGAAATGTGCGAGCCCACCGCCCTGCACTGTGTGGTCTCAATGCTCGCCTCTTCACTGGTTTATTTGCACACAAATGCGCAACCTACCGCAGACAGCCAGCCGCGCCTCTCCCCAGTGTCCGCCCGTAGCCAGCCTGTACCTCACCTAGGATCTGCACCTTCGGCTGCTTGCGCACCACCCGGTCGGGGATCTTTTTTGCCAACCCGCTCTGCTGCTGGCTTCGCTCCTTTTACCAGTTTAGCTGAGCATTTCGTTGTCTTTGGACTCCATATTGTCGATTTTCTGTGTGGCTTGGTTGTGTTTATTTTTGTTAAAACTTTGTTTTTAGATTTGGTTGTGCATGGACACAAGGTGTTTCCACCTACGCCTCCATCTTGGCGGAATTGTCTAACTTTAAGTTTTTACATCTTTTTACACCCCCCTCAGACTGTGAGGCCCACCCAGTCTGCCTTCCCTGAAGGACCCTGAAGTTGAGAGAAAAGGGAATCAAAATCTTTCTCACCCACACAGTTCCAAACAACATTAGATTCTCTTCCACTCCCGTCTCCAGTCCAGGAAGCAGCCCACGTGCTTTCTAGTTCAGAAAAGGTCAGTTCCTCCTTTACTGCCATCCACAGCACACTGGACATCTGTGATGTTGTGGTTTATAAGAACTACGTGTGTTACATATAATGGCATTATTAGTACTAGAAGTCTGTGATACTGAGGCAGGATAGTGAGACACTAGGAAAATCCCTTGGCAAGTGGAATGGGGAAACTCAGCTGGACAAACTGGCCGAGCAATTTACAGCCAGATACAGAAAGCCACAGGTGCCAAGTAATGGGCAAAACTCATGCTGGACTTTGCCCCCAAGTAGACTTTCTGCCCCTGGCACTTAGCTGGCCATGTGATTTAGACCCTCTGGCTTTCCTCCCTGGAGATAACGTTGAGGCCTCGGTTGCATTTCAGCTCCAGGCCCAGAAAAGCAACAAAACCAGGGAGAGTGGTGCCAGGCCAAAGGCAATAACTAATGACCCTGTGCCCTGGTGCTGACCAATCAGTGAGGACCAAGACCCTGAAAGGGCACACCTGGTGAAAGCTGATGAATATTCTGTTGAGATCCTTCTCTAAGACCTCCCCTAAACTACTAACCTTTAAAACCTTCAAAAAGAACCTCCAGAAGCACACCTACACCTTTCCCACCCCCGTCTGCTTCCCCCACAGGCACACATCCCCTGAACTCCAAGGAACCCCACGGGACTTGCAACCCGGGGAGCAATGGGCAGCGGCAGCTCATCCTAGGCTAACCCCCTGACCCTGCCTCCAGTGCTCCCTTTTCTCGGAATCCCTAGTGGCTGACAGCAGCCCAGTCCTGCCTCACTTCCTTTCCAAACATTTCTAGAGAGCCAAAGCAGACCCACCTAGTCTCTCTCCTGTTGCTTCTTCTGTCATAGGACCTTCCTTGTTTCACAGTCCTCAGATTTAATAAAAGTACTCTCAGATCACACGGCCTTGTGTTGTAAAGTCCTGCCAACATGAAGTCGAGAACCCAGGTACTACAGACCAGCCCGAGGCTGACCTGCTCTGGCTTGGTCCCTGTAACAATACCAAACTTAGCATTAATACCTGATCTAATTGCAGTTTCAAACTTTCCAAGAAATGTAATCTTAATTAACCTGAACCATTCTGGAATTTTCTGGTCAAGCACCAGTAAGTTAACCTGTAGTGCAGGCCCTCTCTCTCCCCCATAAAAAGAAGAGGCGAGACAATCTCCAGGATGAAAACCCTCTGCTTTCCTTTTTCCAAAGAAAAGATGTCCTGGCCCAAGAATAACCCTCTCTTTACTTTCCCTAGTAGCTCCCTTGCACCCATCTTCCCATAAAACCCCTCCATGTTATACACCCCCCGGGAGCACCTTCCAGGTGCCAGTTGGGCTGCTGCTCGATTGAGAACCACCGATAAAGCCAATTAGATCTTCAGATTCACTGAGTTGATGTTTTGTTTTTTAACAGATATATTTGGTCACTTGAACCACCCAAGTATATTTCTCAAATATGTTTGGTCTTCATCCATAGTTCCTGACCCACATCTCCCCAAACCCTTGGAATTTCTGAGCTTAAGAGCATTGGGAGCATCTTTTGTTGCAGCATTTGGTCTCTTGTCCTCAGTTCTTGAAAACCTTCAGAGCCATAAAGGTGAAACAGTCTTGTTTTCATAACAAGCCCCTTTCCACCACAACTAGGTTTATGTTAATGAAGGTGACTTTTGGAAGCACCTGAGGGTGGGGGCTGGTTGCCAGGGGAACCAACTGTGAAAGAGGGTTGGAAATTTTAGTCTCACCTCCTGATGTCTGGGGAGGAGAGGGGTTGAGGTTAAATCAATCACCTACGGTAAATGAGTTAGTTAATCACTCATGCCTATGTAATAAAGCCCCCATAAAAACCCAAAAGGAAGCGTTTTGGAGTGGTTCCAAGGTGGGGAACCAGAACACTTTCTAGGGCCATTGTGCCAGGCCCCAAGCCCACGAGGACAGAAGCTCCTTTGTTCAGTTCCTCGCCCTATGTATGTCTAAATCGGGCTGTTGTTCACATCCTCAGTACCCTTTGTGAGGAACTGGCAGCCGAGTGAGTAAATGGTTTGCCTGAGTTCTATGAGCAGTTCTCGCAAATTAATCAAATGCAAGGAGGGGGTTATGGGAACCTCTGACTTAGAGCCACTGGGTCAGAAGCACAGGTAACAGCCCAAACTTGTGATTGGCATCTGGAGTTGGAGGACATAGTCGGAGCCTCCAACATGCAGTAGGTTGGTCAGAAGGACAGGAAATAACCTGGGCTCTCGCCTGGTAACTGAAGTGGAGGGTGGAACTGAGACTCTTGTCTGTGGAATCCGATGCTACCTCCAGGTAGATGGTGTCAGAGCTGGGTTCTTGGACACCCTCCTGGTGTCTGAGAATTGCTTGTTGGTGTGGGGAAGCCCTCCTGCCCCCTCCCCACACACACACACAAATACAGGCATTGGATTTAGGTCCAGGAACCCGAAAGAACAGCCTAGGAATAGAAAGTGTGGTTTCTCCACAGACCTATCTCTCTTTCTTTAAAACCTTCCTGGGCCAACTGCCAAAAGCCACACACACTGGTCTGAGCCAGAGCTATCAGCTTCCACTGACTTTTCTGATGGGATCTGCCTCTCTCCGGTCACCGCCAGCTGCTACCCAGATTCCATCCACTCCCGTATCACAGCCTAAAACCTGCACAGCTAAGCAGAATTCCCTCTACCTGCTTTCTCCCAGTAGCCTGAAGTCAGTTCTTACTATTTCCTTGAAGGAGAGAATAGGAAATACATTCAGTCATCTATCTGAAATTTACCAAGCACCTACAATGTGCCCCTGGCCCAGGTACTAAGTCACAGCCTAGTGTGGACAGCTAGCATTAGGGCTGTGAGATCTGGGTGGAGGTAAGTGCTGGCTTTGATCTAATTTTTCGATCCATTATTTCACAGCACTGTAAAGCTCCTCCAATCCCTAAGCCTTATATCAGTATCCGGTCATCTGTGGTCCCTTGGGTGGAGGTGGGGTGCTAGGGCATGATCTAGAACCCAGTACAGTGCCTGGCTCAGAAATTCTGTTTGGGTCCTGGCCGGGTGGCATGGTTGGTTGGAGTGTCATCCTGTACACCGAAAGGTCTGAGGTTCGATTTCTGGTCAGGGCACATACTTAAGTTGTAAGTCCAGTCCCCAGCTGGGGCATGTACAGGAGGCAACAGGATCAATGTTTCACACACTGATGTTTCTCTCTCTTCCCCCACCCTCTCTAAAATCAATAAACATATTCTCAAGTGAGATTTAAAAAAAAAGAAATTCTGCTTGGGTGGAATCCAAGGTGATGCCTTGCTCTCACCGATCCAGGTTACGGGGTCCAGACCACATCGGTACCAGGTAGGCGGAGAGGGGAAGAGGGCAGGCCACAGGGCAGCACGGCGTACACCCTGCTCCCTGGAGGCAGACAAGCAGAGAGAGGCCCACATGACAGCTGTGCTCTCCCAGCTCTGAGCTCACGCATCAGGCCTCTCCCTCACATTTGCAGGCCCGGGGAAGAGCAAAGTGAAGACCCAGCAGGGTGGTCTAGAAAGAGAAAGGGCACATCCCCTGGACCCTGCTCCCCACAGAGGGGGTGTGGCTGGAGGGCCAGCGGCAGGGCCTTTTGAAGCGGGAGTGCAGAGCATATGCGTGGCCTTCACCCTCTTGCAGTGGGATCTTCCAGGCTATAGGCTCTAGCAGCTCACTGATAATTCCCTGACATTCCCTCACTGATAATGGCCTCTGACATGAAGGCCCACATGTCCCCACCCTGACAGGTGAAGGAGAAACATGCAGACCAGTACAAAAGAAAAATACTGTTTATTCCATACGACAACATCAAGTGTTTCTCCCCTCCCCACCCCTCACTCCAGCCCCCAGTAGGTTCAGCCCCATGTCAGAGACAGACAGAACCTCAGCATCAGAGCCTGGCCTATGAGGCAGGATGGGAACCCAACCACAGGAAGATGATTGGATGTCCAAGGACAAAAAAAGGTCAGGGATTCTCATTCCAAATTCAAGTGTCTTCCTCCATCCATTTGGCCAGATTCCTTCCCTGGACCTCGCCCAGATAAAATACCATGCAAAGCACAGGTTCAAAGGTCTCAGCTAATTCACCAGGCCATAGGAAGTTTTGGTCTTTCATTTATTTAAAACAAAAACCAACAAACAAAACCACAAGCAAACAATAAAACCAGAACCGCCCTTTCTCCCTCCTTTCCATGGTGGAGGAGACACTGAACTCTGGCTTTAAGTCCAGAAAGCTGCTTTCAAAACAAAATTGATATCAACTCCCTTTAGAGTCTGATGCTACAAGAAACAAAACCGAAAACCCACCTCAGGGCCACAGGTGCTTCCCGGGGTGAGGGTGGGGGGTTCCCTACAGCAGGGAAGCAGGAGATTGTGGGCTGGTGAGCTCTGCTTCGGGCACATTTCTGGGACACCTGCGCCTTTCTGCCTGGGGTATTCAGTCTGTAAATATTCTACCCCCAACACTGTTCCTCTGGAAGACCCACCATCCTCCCTGCAGAGGAGAAAATGGTTTAGCTGTAGCCCAGCCTTGGGAAGGAGAGGAGGTGAGACAGCAGGGCCAGCCCTAATTTATACCAGCAGTTCATTATGTTTTCCTGCCCTGACACCAGACAGATGGACACACCCTGGGTTATCTGTTACTCCCCAGGTACCGTGACCCACCTGGAAGAAAGTGCATCTGAACACAAGTGTTTGAGGGTGAGAGCCTGTATCTCTCTAATTTATTGGAGGCTAAATCACTGAATCCTTAACAAACTCCAGTAGTTTATTACTGAATACTTGTTTACAACACCCCTCGATCTCATTGAGACAGGCTGATAACCCTGAACTTGAGTGTGGAACCTCCCTCCTCTGGAGACATTTTCTCCTGAGAATCTGAGGCAGGCAAGATACCCAAGCGCTTCCTCACTGCCACTGCACTGGGGCCGGCTTGCTGGTTCCGTTACAGTGGGCAGGAGTGTGTGCATGTGGCACTTTGACACACGGCTGTCTTCCCACTGGCAGGGCTGCCGAGAGGGCGGCCGTGCTGGCACTGCGGGGCTGGGAGGGACCAGTGGTAGGCAGGAAAGGAAAGAGCATGCCAGAGGAAGCTAGGCTAAGAGGTGGCTGCAGTGACCACCAGAGCTGGTACCAGGCCCTCACCTGGCAGTCACCTCCTCAGGGTGTGTCATGTGAGGGGCAGCGGAAGCCAGCTGCTAGAGACTTGGCTCTGTCAGGACAGGAGTTGTGAAGGGGGTGGGTGGCGGCTGACCCCTGTGACGCGTAGCCCTGGACGGACAGTCTACACAGCAAGGCTGGGCTCATCTAAGCAAACCTCTCAGTGCTGGCTGACTTCCTGGAGTCGCATGCAGAGTTCCAGGGGTCGCCCAGCCACACTGGGAAACTCAGGCACTGGGATGAGCCGCCAACCCCCAAAGTGCCATGGTTACCCTCTCTGGAGGAAAAAGCCATCTGGCTCCAGGGGTCTTCTTGGTTCAGTGGAACACTGGGGAGATTGGTTACACAAACACAGGGTCTAAGACTCTGGACAAAATAAGATTTCTCCTCCAGTATCCAAGGCTTAAAGTGACAGAGAAAGTTATAGTTAAATCACCTTCCACAGAAGGTGGAAGTCACCTTCCTGGGCTGCCATGTTGGCCTTTCTCCCAGGCCTTGCTGCCCAGGTTATTGTTGAGTTTGCCCCTCTGAGAAGGCCCCAACCCAGGCCTGGGGAACAATGTGAGGACAAGAGAATGAGCCAGCACTCTTCCCTTGTTTTTCCCCAAAGTGCCTGTTTACTGGGACTGCGGGTTTTCCAGGCTGCAAGTTCTCCTCTGAAGGAGATGGTCATGGCCAGAGACTGGATTAAAATCTGGAAGAATGGCCTTGTTTAGTAAGTTCCTGACCTACCACAGACCCAGGTCAACTCCAGGACAGCTAGAGTTCTCTGTTGCTTCCTTCCAACGTGGGTTACAAAAGAAAAGGTTCTGCTTTAGTGCAATTTTCCTCCATAGGAACCAGGGAGAGGTGGGAGAGCAGGTGCCATGTTCTGGCCCCAGGGCTGCGGAACCTTCCAACCTTGAAGTCAAGGCAGACACCGAGTCTGACTTTCTGAGCAGCACATCACACTTTCCAGAACTGTGTCTCTTAGGGCCTTTCAGGGGACAGAGTGCCTGCCGGCAAAGGGGGGTGAGCCTGTGGTTCTACGGACACGAACCTGCCACACCTGCCACACTTACACAGAGGAGGAGAGAAGAGAGGGTGAAAAGAGAACGCCATCGAAAACAAGAGCTAACGACCAGTCCTTAGGGGCTGCTACAGCCCTGCCCCAAAGACGGGGCAGAATTTACTCTTCAAAAACCACGTTACCAAAGTGCTTCTTTAAGTGACACCACAATTCCCTCCCTTGGCAGGACCAGCCAGAGCCTGGCACTCTGGGCGGGCTCCTCTGCCTCCCCGTGGTGTGCAATATGTGGGGGACGGGAGGGAGGCCACTGACACGCATGCACACGGTGGAGTCTCAAGACTCAGGACACGCACAGCCACGTGTAGCAGAATGACAGGTGCTGTCACAGCCATGGCTGCAGCCGGGCGCCAAGGGACAAGTACAAAGTGCTGGAACATAGGGCTGGGGGCTGAGCCCTAAGGGATCTGAAAGACATTCAGCTTGCTGGTGTTCTTGAGTGTCTGGCGCCGATTGCAGAACCAGACCCGCACGACCTCCCTGTCATAGTTGAGCTCCTTGGCAATCTCGGTTATCTCCTGGCCTGTGGGCAGCGGGTTCTTCTCGAAGTAGGCATTGAGAGCCACGATGGCCTGGGGGGTGAAGGAGGTGCGGCGTTTGCGTTTCTTGGAGGGCTCCCCTCCCACAAACTCCATCAGGTTCTGCTGGCCTTCCTGGTTCCGGAGCTCGGCCTCATTCAGCCACTTCTCCAGCACCGGCTTCAGCTTCTGGGCACTCTTGGGCGTGATGTCCAGCTTCTCGAACCTGCAGGTGACCCAAGCCCAGGAAGGGACAGTGAGAGTGTCTTGCCCCCCACACTGGGTGGGAGCACTCCCCTCGAGGTGTTGGTCCTCACCACCCCCACCAAGGCCCCCTCTGGCTCAGGCAAACCCAGACTTCTCAGACTACTCTGGGTCCCAGGTCATGGCAGAGGGACTGTCCCCATGGTCTCGGTCCAGCAGTGCAGTGACAACAGTGCACCGCTACATGAACAGCCACTCCAGAACTTTCACCAAGAGAGGGCCTCTCAGGTATAACCTCTCGAGGCCCCAGTGAATGGATGTCATCAGTGCCGTCCCCCTCTAATTACCCCCTCCTAGCATCGTCGGTAAGTCAGCCCGACGTGACTGCAGACGTCCCACTGTGGCGCTGAGTCTGAGAGGCGCTGTGGTCTGTCTGCGGAACTGGAAGGCCCATGAGACCCTCAGGCCGCCCCTGAGCCACGCCCTCACTGGTGTCTGAAACCCTCTGCTCCCCCTCCTGTGGCACCGGCACCAGACCCAGTCTGTGCGCTGCACAGAGAAAGCCAGCTGCATCACCTTCCAGTCGTGCCTTACAAGAGGGGGAGACAGAAGCATGGCGGGGGGGGGGGCACAGTTGCGAGCCGAGTCAGAACTGAAGTTCCCACCTTTGTGACTAATTTTGTGAGCTGTACTCCTTTCCCTCCAGGATTCCTGAATGGATTGGTGTCTTGGCATCCCAGATAAAGACCGTGTGTTGGGAAAGGCTCGGATTGGAGGATAAACATCAGAGGCCCCTCAGAAGGACCAGATCAGTCTTTGGCTCCCCCAAGTATTTGCATCTGTGCTTAAAGCAGCCTTCAGTGTTTGGAAGAAGGCAGGAGCAAGGCAGAAGAACGAGGTCAGATACCCAGGTAGGTATCTGTGAACACCTAGCAGGCCCCGACCTTGCCCAGGAGCCTTACTCACCGGCAGATGGCTGACTGGCTATAGGCCGGGCCTTCTGTTGCGGTCAGAGCCTGCCCCACCTGGGTCTGTGTGAGGCCCAGGGACAGCCGCCGGATCTTAAAGTTCTTGGCAAACTCCCGGATCTCTTCCAAGTTGATCCCGTCCTCATCCAGGCTTGGGGTGTGGGGCTCTAGGCGAGAGGAAGGGACCAGGGGTGAGTGCAGAGGGAAGATGATCATCACTGCTTATCTAGCCTATTGGCCTGGCCTGCTGCAGAGGGGTGAGGACATTTGGCAAAATACCCACATACCCCTAAGATCTTCATTAACCTTGTCCCTACGACAAATAAGACTGAGGGAAAAGGGGCCTGGACCAACCTGTCTGGAGGCAGGGGTCTATTTTCAAGTTCTTCCAGCTCTAACTGCTGACCCTCCCCATTCTCTGCAGTCCTGGACACCAAGCATACCCGCTAGCCATCCACATCCCTCGGATACTGGGTTAGGGACCACGGGAGAGACAGTCGACGGCCTGGCTACTGAGAGAAACAGCCTCCACTCTCATCACGCCTAGAATCCAGCTCGACAGAAACACAGTCCCTGGCATCGCGCATCTGCCCTTCCCTTTCAGACTCCAGTAAATTTATATGGAGAACAGCATCCAAAGAGGTCGGCGTGTCCAAATAAATGCCTCTCCCCTTCTCCAGAACCTCCTCCAGGAGCCACTTACTAGACACTAGCTGGCTGACAGTGGGGGTCTCCGAGCAGGTAATTGGGATGGGAGCAGAGGCAGATGGCTTGGCCGCTGGGGCTGGGCTGGCAATGACCACAGCAGGCGGGGGCACAGCTGGCGTCGGCTGGATGGGCTGCACCTGTGAGAAGAGAGCCAACAAGCCCGTACTGCCCACCTGCCCAGCTCGGGGGGGTCGGAGTCCCTGCATGGATCAGAGACACGGGCAAAATGAGGCATGATGTCCACACTCCCACCTGTGCCCCAACAAAACAAGACTAGAAGCTACTTCTTATCACCCACCCAATGACGATGACCTCCAAAATAAGCCCACAGCAACTTGCCCCAACAACCTGGAGCCTTCTGGCCACCCATGGCACAGGCAGGTCTGAGGCTCAGAAAGCTCAGTACGCTTGGCCAAAGCCCCAACACGCACCCACCCTTGAGAAAACTGCTCTTGAATCTCTGTCCTCAGAAGAGAAACCCAACCTGATTTCAGAGCCTCCCAAGCCCAAACATCCACTAACAGGGAACCAGCAAATGATGCCTGGGACCTCCCTACAAGGAGACACGGGGCAGCCACTCAAAAGAGCCAGGTATCTCTCTCTGCTGGCGGGAGCAAGCTCAGGGTCACACGCTAAGTGGAAACAAAAAGGCAAGTGAAAACCAGGTTTGATGGAATAATTCTTTTTAAAAAATACATGTAAATTTCCAGGAAAAAATAAAGGTGGAATTAAAAGGGATTTTTACTTAAAAAAAAAAAAGATTTTATTTATTTATCTTTAGAGGGGAAGGGAGGGAGAGAGGGAGAGAAATATCAATGTATGGTTGCCTCTCGTGCATCCCGGGCTGGGACCTGGCCAGCAACCCAGGCATGTGCCCTGACTGGGAACTAAACCGTGATCCTTTGGTTTGCAGGCCCGCACTCAATCCACTGAGCTACACCAGCCAGGGCATACTTTTCTACACTACATATAATCTTGGAATTTTTATAAAAATCATGTATTATTTATAATCGCAAGAAACTATAACTATATGAAATTAGTATTTTTAGTATTGTGTTTTTAAAAACCTTCTGGAAAAGTTCAGATTTTTCTAGGATGGGTCCTGTTCTCTGGATTCTACCTCTCGGTAGCTCTCAAGTCCAGTCCTTTCTGCTTCTTAGGGCCTTAGGCTCAGGTCAAGTCCCTTTTTTTTTGCTAGAACTGTTGAAGCTGCCCTGTCTCCTAACAGGTGACAAGGACTCAAGTTCACCACAGCTCAGTTCTTGGCTCCGCCTGCTGACAGGAAATTGTTTAATGCACATTTAATCAGCCATTTCCTGTTAAAAACCCTTCCATGCACTCTCATTAGCTAGCTCTTAACAGCAACCACAATAAAAACACTATTTTTCAAGTTCTTCCTGTGTACTAGAGTGTTAATGGCCTCTGTCTGTGCAGTAGGTCCTTCATACTCAAAACCTTCTGAAATTGGTCCTCTCGTAACTTCCATTTTCCAGATGAGGCAAAGGGGTTATTCACAAAGCTGGGAAGCAGCAACCATGTTTGAGAACCATGGGCCTCAATACCTGAGGACACATTATAAAGCGGAATTCCTGAGTCCCACCTGAGACCTACTGAATAAGAAAGTCTGGGCTGGGACCTGGGAGCCTGCATTCTAACAACCGCTCCAGGTAGTTCTGACACCCCCTCAGGTTTGAGAACCCCTGCACCCGATACTGCTTGCAATTTCCTAATTGCAAAAGGGGTAAAAGCCTCTCTCATCCAACTCATCCCTTAAGATTAGTTCAGTGCCCCTTCTCTGTGAAGCTTTGTAATGAACTTCATAGTCTGGTGAGCGCGTCCTTCTCTGGGTTTCCTTACAATGCCCCCTCAGAGTCTCTGTCAGGCTGCCTTGCACTTGTCTCCAATGCTGAGCTACCTGAGGCTACAAAGGGCGTCTTACTCTCCTCTACATCTTTAGTACCTGAGGTACAGCAGGCACGCAAAGACCACTCTTAGAATGAACAAATACATGAATAAGCAAAGCCACAGCACAGAGTGGAGGGGTGGAGGGGTGCAGGAGGAAGAGGGAGGGGTGCAGAACTACCCTCCCAGGGCTCTTCCAGCAGCTTGTTCACCCCGGAGCTGGCAAAGGCCCCGCTTACTTGGCCCGCCTCCTCCCAGGCCTTCTCAGAACGGCACTGGCCTCTGAGGGCACACAGACAAGTTGTTGGTGTGTGGGCAGGGGTTGGGGGCGTGTGCAGTTTCCCTGGGCAGAGTATGTGTGAATCGTGTGAGCCTTTTTTCCTGGACCTTCCCTAACTTTGAGGAGGTGCCCCACTTTCCCAGGGGCTTCAGAGAATAACCTTGTCCTGCCTACAGTCATGCTAGATAGCACTGCCAGCCCCCAGCCCCAACCCCGGTCCCTGTACCTCACTCTTAGCAGGGGACTCAGGCGTGCTTGGCTTCCGGACAGCCACAGGCGGAGGCAGGGGGCTGCTGGCCAAGGTTGCAATCACCTGGCCCTGGGCATTCAACAGCAGCTGGGGGGTCACAGCCTGGACCTGCAGGCTTTGGGCGGGTGCCGGGGCTGCCACGCTGGCTGAATTCACTACCCACGGGAGTGTTCCAATAACCTGGGAGGAAATAAGGCAGGGACCCTCAGTGTGAGGGCGGAATCCAGCTCCACCCTGCACCCAAATCCCCACACTGGCTGGGGAAAGGACTTAGACAAATCACTTAAACCCTATGGGCCTCAGTCTCCTCCTCAGCCTAGTGCAGGACTCAGTCTGGGGGCTGCTTCCTTTATCCTGTCTGCAGAGCTGTGACGGAGCAGGAACGAGTCTGTGCGTGGGGGCAGACAGACGGATGGGAGCCCCGCTCTGCCACAGTTCAGCTGTGTGGCTTCATTTCTCTAAACCTCAGCCTTCTTCCCCACTAAATGTCAATAAAAGTCTCTACCTAGTACATCTACACCCAAACGAAGTGAGATGATGTATGAGAAACCACCTAGCACAGACCCTGGCCACAAAGTAGATGCTCCATAAATGACGTAGATATTCACTTCAACTAGAGTGGGCACCTCTAGGGCAAGGTAGCAGCTCTGCCCATGCCTGGTCTCAGCATCAGTAGGCAGCTGCTGCATGGAAGATGGGAACAGCACGCTGACGCCCTGTTTGAGATTCTGTGACCCTCAGCCCGAGTCCTGGTCCTCTGGCCGGCTTCTCCACAGCTCCCATCCCCCAGCCCTGGCTTTGACCACTTGCCTGTCCCTGAGCACTGGTGAGGATCTGACTGCTGATCCCTGGCATGCTGGGAATGGCGTTGGCAATGACCGGAGTTGTAGTGAGGGAGCCCAGGATCTGGGTCTGTCCCCCGAGAGATGCAGCACTGATCTGTGGGCGGAGGAAGAGCCTTGCTCAGAGGCTGAGGGGAGAGAAAGAGCCCAAGGCAGAGAGAAGGGGACTCAAGGCACTGGGGTGGGGAGGTAGGGATGTGGGGCGGATATGTAGGAACGTGGGCTACAGGCCCATGTCCTCCAGCTGAATAGCATTCAGGGCTAGGGATGGCAGCGGTTGGCCAGGAAGGATGGGGTCAAAGCCCTGGAAGAATAACTCCAGCTAATCTTTCAGGCCAGGCCTGGGAGGGCAAAAGGGCCCGGGTGGAGTGGCCGACATGATTCTAGTGACATCTAACAGCTCCACTGACAAACTAGGAGCCACGGGGGACGACACCGACAGTGGGGGCTGTGAGCCTCCGGCTCCACCTTAGTGACAGCTCACAAGTGTGCAATCCCCAGACATCATCCCACCCTCCAAGGCTGGTCCAGTGGTTCAGGCTCTGGAGAATCTGCCCAGCCCTCTTGGCAGAGGTTGTCTGCTCTCATCTGGGATGGACGGGCTGGCAGCTGCAAGAAGGCTACAGAGGGAGCCCATCTCTGCTGGTGTGTTGGAAAAGAGCCACGCTCAGGGGACTGGTGCTCCACCTCCTTCCTCCCCTGTCAGTTCTACCCTTGGCCCAAGATTCAGTCCATCCCTGGTCAGCCCTGGGTGAGGGCAGCAGCTTACGATTCCCGGGCTAAATGCAAAGCCTGCAGGCTGGAGGGTGATCTGTTGGGGTGTGTCCACTGGCTTGGGGGTGGGGGCAGCAGCAGTGGCAGCAGTGGGCTGTGGTAGAATGGCAGGCGTGGTCTGCAGCAGCGGCGGCGGGGTCTGGAACAGCGTCTGGGGCTGAGCTGGTGGCCGGGGCTGGGCGGGCAAGGATGCCTGTACCGGTGGGGCAGCTTGCACAGGTGCCGGGAGAGCGGTGTTCAGCACGGCAGCTGCTACGGAGCAAGGCAGAGACAGAGGTGCTCAAATGCCCAGCCGCAGCCTAGGGCAGCTCCAATCCCAAGGGATCCGGCACGAGAACGAGAGGGGGTTGGGGCGGTGGGGCAAGGGGACAGGCGGCTGTGACTCCCTTGATCCTCGCGGGGGGCAGCACACGCCAACATCTCTCATCCCCCCTCCCTTGGGCCTGGAGGTGTGTAGGTTCAAAACCAGAAGTTGCGTCTTCTTGCAGTCCTTCTCAGGAGGCTGGTCATGGGGTGAGTTCTGGCGTGGGGGGAGGGGCAGTCTTAGACAGTTGGCCGAAGTAAGACAGGCCTGCTGGGCCAGCACGGCATCATGGCCTAGAGTCCCAAGGTGCTGCAGCAGCTCTATGGCTGGGTGCCTGGGACACCGGATCCAGACTCCAGGGCTGTCGTCCTGAGTGGGCTGTGGGCTCTGAGTCCGACATGGCAAGTGCACACGCACGAATGGTGGTGGTGAGTGGTGGGGGGCCAGGTGCAGTCCTGGGGAGAGTTGCCGTTACCTTGGAGACTGGCTAAAGGTGGCTTGAAAATTCCCCCCGTAGGAGAAGCGGCAGTCAGTCCTGGGAGGGCAGCCACGGTTGCTGTAGGAATTGTCCACACGGCCAGCCCCTGCTGACCAGCCACTTGACCTGCAATACTGATGGGGATAAGAAGAGGTTGAGTAACTGCCCCTGCTGGAACCATAACTCCTGTCAGAACTGTGGCTAAGTTTTCCTGAGTCAAGACCTGCAAAAGCAAACAAGATTTCAAAAAGAAAAGAAAAAATAAAAAAAAAATCAACATTGACAGCGCAAACACTGGGTCTCTCAGACCCAGCTGAGCACAAACAAAGCATTCTGAGGGCAGTGGGGGAAAGGCCGAGTGAGGGCGGGGACAAGCCCTGGCCCTAGCTGGAGGCTCGGTCTTGAGGGGGGTGCCTGGCCAGACTATCTGCCTTCAGAGAAGCTGCCAAATCGCAGGACAGGACTGGGCCCTGCTCACACGACAGCCGAGGGTGCGCAGGCCTCTGCCACTACAGAGTGCCGCCTCCCAGGCTTCCCTGGGCCCTCACCCACAGGACCAGTGTTTTACGGAACCAGATGGCCAAGGGCCCACAGAGGCTTCCGAGAAGCTTTGATGGAGGCTGCCCCTGATGAATGCTTGGAAATCTGTGCGCACGGTGAAAGGTCACAGGGAGCTCAGCACTCCGGAGACAGCTCACTGTGCTATGGGGCTGCCCCATGCTCTACATGAGGACTGTGAGCAATGCATTAACTTTTCCAGGCACCCAGTGGAAGAACTGACAAGGGTACTCACTCATTCCGTCATTAGATAGACGGATGGCCTGTGGCATGAAAGAGTTAATGTAACTCTACAACCCTTACTGGACCCAAGGAGCTCACCTGGCAAATGCAGACCTACTTTTCCCAGTGGGCCTCATCTAGGGCAGGGGAAAGGCCAGGGGCGCCTAACGGGGGACTCCCTCCCTCCCTCCCTCCAAGCCACAGCCCCTTCCTTATCCTGCCTTGTGAAGTTGCCATATCCCATGCCTTGCTTCTGCCCACTGCCCTCTGTCCAGGTCCCAGGGGTGGCTCTTACCTGGGGGGCAGCTTGGACAGCCAGTGGCGTCAGGGTCTGTGATGCCTGAGGCTGGCTTGGGGCTTGGCTGAAGGTGGCGACAGCAGGGACAGGGCTTGAAGGGATCGCTGGGAGTGACTTCACTTCATGTGGCATTGAGAAAAAGGACAAAGAGTGAGCCTGGTGTGAACAGAGGGGTGACCAGCTAGAATGTCTTGTCTGCAACTTGAAGTGGCAACTCTCAGCCTCATATTGTATTTTTGCACAACCCAAGACCTATCACTGGCTTTCCCTGGCCCAGAAGGCAGCCTCCCAAATGCTACTGGTAGTGACACTAGACCAGACCTAGACCTCTTGTGCCAGACCTAGAACGTAGGCCCTCTCCTTCCCACACTTAGATGAAAATGCAAGCCTATGCACAGTTGGGCATCAGTCTCTCATTTCCTAGCTCTACAGAGCACTGTGACCTATCACATAATCAGTAGAGGGGCCTGAAGGGAACGTGTCTGGGAGGGAAGGGCTAGACAGAGTCACTGGGAGCAGCTTCCCTCGGCTCATCCTGCAACTCGGCTCGTTGCTCAGCCCATCTCCAGGCTCCTTTTCAGGTGCAGGTGCTGGCTCGGGGAAAGGGCAAGGCCTCTGCAGGGTGCAGCCCTTGAAAGGACAGCCCCTGAAAATTAGACATGCGTTTGCCACACTTGGGACCACAGTGGTTCTCTGGGCCAGGTAGCTTTTCTCTGCAGGTCCCTGAGGTCTGAGTCCGGATGAGCTGCTTCAAAGAGCTCCTAAAAGAACTTCCCATGAACTAGAGCTTTTCATCCAGCTTATAGCTTCCTCTTGCTGCCCTGATTTGTCACGTATTGGGGATATCCACCAGGAAGCCTCTTCAAAGCCACACAATGAGGAAAAGGGTTATTATTTTATATGCGGTGAGACATTAAATGGAGTCTAGGTATTGGGCAATGGGTATTAGACCAGATCAGTGGCCTCTTAGTACTGGCTGGGCATAGATTTCCAGACCCTAATAAATCAGAATATCTGGCAGTGGAGGCCAGTCACCTCTCCTCTCTCTTTTTTCTTTTTTAAATTTTAAAAAAAATTTTCAACTAGAGCTGACATTCTATATTATCTTAGTTTCAAGTGTACATCCTAGAGATTAGACATTTCTGTAACTCACCAAGTACCCCTCTGACATCACACGTAGTTACTACAATGTTGACTACATTCCCTCCGCTGTGCTTCACTTCCCCACGGCTGCCTCCATCACCGGCGACCGGTGCGTCTCGGTCTCTTTTCTTTCAAGTTCCCTTGTGACACAGCACTTGGCCACAGTGGGAACCACGAATGAGATCACTGTCCAGCCCTGTGTTCCCAGCCCATATTTTACTCCGGAAAGGCACCACGCTAACTCAGGACTGTGCTGCTCATAGTACATTAGTTAAAAAATTCAGATTGCTTAGGGAATTAAAGAGACAGCAACAGCAACAAAAGCCTTATAAAATACTAAAAGAAAGCAAAATGTCAGATTTCTCTCCCTCGTGGAGAGGAGATACTTTTCTAACTACTACTAAAAAAAATTAAAGAAGATAAGGATAATCTGAACCTAGAAAAAATTTTAAAAACATTTTGTGTGACAAATAATAATGAGTTATAAAAAGGACAGTGAAAAACAGGAATATGATAAACATGAATGATAAAAGCTTACAAGCCAAAGGAATGAACTATTTGTTTTATTAGAATGTATTTCCAGCCCTGGCCATGTGGCTCAGTTGCTGGGGCGCCATCCTGCAGGGTGAGGGGTCGTCAGTTGATTCCTGGTCCTGGCACACACCTGGGTGGTGAGTTCAGTCCCTAGCAGGTGCACGTACCAGAGGCAACCAACCGATGTTTCTTTTTCACATCGATGTTTCTCTACTTCTCTTTCTCCCTCCCTTCTCCTCTCTCTGGAAATAAATAAATTAAGTCTTTAAAAAATAAATATATTTCCAAAGTAAGACCAAGGGATCCAAGAGTTTGCCTACACTTGGAGCTTCTGTCACTTCCTGCTGGACAGCTTTCCAGAAAGAATGACACACAGAAACGTGGGCAATGAGCCTGCTCCTCCACCGCGTCCCCCCGTCCGCGTTTATTGCTGTTGACTTTTCCGGCTTAACCGGCATGCGGTAGCTCATAGCCAACTACTTTTCCTCTCATTGATAGCAAGATTTTGTGCTTTTTCATGTGATGACTTCTTCCTACATAATTAATTTCTCTTCAAAAGGAATTTGAGTGGACTATACCTTAAAGAAAAAGATTTTTCAAAGGACCAATACAAAGACATTCAAAGCAGCACTGGTTATGACAATAAAACACCAGGCAGTCTGACAATGGCCAAAACCAGAACAGGTTTGTGAATCTATGTCAAAAAGGAACCGGGCATCCGAAACAGCACAGTGGCCAGACTCACACTCCACAGTCTACCCTTGGTAGACACAATGATAAAAACACGGATGTGTGACAAGGACTTGGAGGTAATTTAGAGTGTCAGAAATCACTCGATTTTTTTTCATCCTGAAAAAGATTTCTATTCCTTAGCTTTGTTTTGTTTTAAGAGGAAATGCTTCTTAACACTGCATATCTAGAAAGGTCCCATTAAGTCCTAGATTTAAGCCGGCAGCTTCTTAGGAAGTACCATCAAAATACCTCCCTTGCTTGTGTGACGATAACTAAAATTCCTTTACAAAGGAAAATTTTGCGAAACACCAACCTCTGGAAGAAGACGCAGGCTACCATAAACGCTCATGCTAAGGCGTAAATAATTGACTTAGGATCTATTTCCAGGAGCAGGTTTGGAGAAGGAGCAGCATTAAGACACCAGAAGAAATGAGATATGGAATATCCTTAGAAGGGTAAGGAGGGAAGTTAAGACACTGTGGATGAAGCTGGGAAACCTCTCAAATTTTCTGAAAAAGGGCTTCATCCCCACAATGAAAGGAATAAAAGGTGGTTAAGGGAAAGAATCCTTGTCTTTCCTGCCTGCTCTGCAGGGCACTGGCCCCTGGCCACTCAGGTAGTGGCCCCATTCTGACCTCAACATGGAAGCAGTATATTTCCACGTAAGGGGAAAAGGGTCATATTACTAAGAGGGGAAATAAGCCAAGTTACTAGGGCCCCATTTGGCAGGTAGAGCAATGGGTGTAAGGTCTAGCATTTTCCTGGGTGAGAAGTTGCTGTTTCCCTGAAGCCTGTCTATTCTCATTTGTTATCTTCTTGGCTCCCTCTCTTAGCCCACCCCCACCAGTCCAGATCTCCAATCCAGGGAAGGGAAGATAAGCAGAAGGCAAGGGTGATGAATCCTGATGTTCTGATGGAACTGGCAAGGGAGGCCCTAGGCTTCTTGCAAAAGGAGGTTACTATTCTGCAAGGTATTAATGAGAAAAGTCCCTCACTGAAATGACCAGAAAGCAGTGCCTAGTACCAGCCCAGGCTCTAGAATAGCCCTCCTGCAGGTAATTAGGAAAGACAGTGTGGGTGGACCAGCCACGTCCATTCCCGTGTAGGAGAATCAAGTTCACGCCCTCAACTCATTCTTGGAGGACAGCAGAAGTAAGCCCACCAGGCTTGACTCACACCAGCCCAGCTGGCATTCTGCAAGGTCCTACCTAACCCACATCCTTAGTCCCAGGTAAGTAAGATGCCCTCCCATCCCCAGCTTCTGGGACCTCCCAGCTTCCCCACAGCAGGTACTAAGTAGGAAGGGCTGGCAGGATCCTGAAGGTCTAGTCCTCTCCAAGGGTCTGGTTTAGACCTAGGAGCCCTCTCTGAGATTTGTTCGATCATCTTAGCTGACCCATCCCAGTTTAGGTCTGGAAGTGACTGAAACCAGAACTAAAGTTGTAGGGACAAGGAGTGCAGGAGAGCCCTAACAGCTGGCCAGAAGTAGAGGACATGGCCAAAGGCTGTCCAGTGGGGAGGAAGACAACAAGACCTGAAAGCCCTCTCGGCGCCAGGGAACCACAGGAAGGGACCCAAGTGGAACACAGCCAGATGGGGGCAATGGCCTCGTACCAGTTGCCTCTGTAGAGGAGTCTGGGTTGTCTGGCCCAGCTTCACCAGCAGGTTCGCTGGCTTCAGCAGGCCCTCCGCTCTGGCAGCCCTCCGCAGACACAGCTTCCAGTCCTTTGCTCTCCTCTTCAGCAGGGATCTGGGCATCCACGCCAACTTCCAGTACCCGGATGGTCTCATGGCCTGACATCACGATGACCTGCAAAGACAGGTCAGGACAGTGCTGGAGGAGGGGCTGATACAGACCCCCGGCTTGGGGACGGGAGCTCTGGGTATGGTTGAGGTTAGAGAGGAAAGGAGACCTGAGTATGCAGACTTCCTGTCCCAAGGACTGTGTCCTGTTGACAGTTCCAGAGCCTGGCTGGCGCAAGCTGTAGGCCGAGAGAAAGTAGGCCCCGGGGTGCGGGGGAAGGGCCTGACACTAGCTGGAAAAAGTCCCACAAAGCCAAACCATTTGGGGATATTTCCATTTGCTCTCTTTCTTGGACTCAGTTCAGGGAGCGGTAAAAGGTCTATCCTGCAGCCTTGCAAGGATGCCTCTGGCTGCTAGGATATCGGTGTGTGCCTACAAGGGCCCCTACCACAGTATCTATAGCTTACGCTGGGCCAAGGAGTGAATCCTGCCTCACAACCCTTGAAACCTTACAGAAGTTCCCTCAAAGGTAAAGCAGTGGAAAATGAATGCTCCACAGTGTTGAGCAAATTTTTCAGCTCATGATTCCTTTATTTCCAAAACTCTGGGGTAAAGGCCAAGATTTCCCTACAAGCCAACTGAAGACACAGCCTTCTCGCCCCACACCCCTGGCTGGAGCTTGTACCCGTGGGCCTGTGGCAACAGTTGCGCCATCTGCTGTGGGCCAGCTCTGACCTTGAAGGAAGCCTCCGTGCCCCAGCCACGCACGAGGCCACTGGGCCCCCTCAGAACACGGCCTTCTGCTCAAACAACCAGCACTCGCTCTTTACCTCCGGCACGGAAATGCTTCCAGTCAGGCTATTCAAACATCAGGGACACTTTGTACATTGAAAGCTCTTTGTCCAGCTTCCCTGCATTTGCCCTGTGCCTGAAGCCACCCCCACAACACTCTCCTTAAGCCTGAAAACTGGATTCAGCCAGAGACTCTGCTGGAAAAAGTGACAATGTGACCCATCAGGGGAGCTGGAGTAAAATAAACCCCCAGAAGCAATTGCCTTTCTGACTCAAACTTGACCCATGAGGGACTTCACTCCCATTTCATTTCTTTTTTAAGATTTTATTTATTTATTTTTAGAGAGGGGAAGGGAGGGAGAAAGAGAGGGAGAGAAACATCAATGTGTGGTTGCCTCTCGCACACCCCCTACTGGGCACTTGGCCCACAACCCCGGAATGTGCCTTGACTGGGACTTGAACTGGACACCCTTTGGTTTGCAGGCAGGCACTCAATCCACTGAGCCACACCAGCCAGGGCCCATTACATTCTAAGAGCTGTTAATCTTTTTTCTTCTTTTAAAAATTACACAAGTAGTAAATGGTCGCTGAAGAAAAATTAGAAAATATATATAAACAAGAAGAAAAATCAGGAGCAAATTATCCAATGTTCAAATCTTTCCCCATGTAAACTTACAGATGTTTGTATATTTCAATTTTACTTTTTAAAGTCACAGCTTAAATCCCCAAATGTAGCCCCTGAGAAATCCTACCTGGCAAGTACACCTGGGCAGGCGAAGTGACCATGAACTTTGGTAAGAAACAGACAATGAGAGGCTCTATGGGGTCTTCCTACTTTCTGACACCCCCTGCTCCATCACCCTCACTCCCCCACCTCTTCCTGCCCCAGAAAGTACCTGCTCATTGACAGTCAGAGATGACTCTGGGCCAGCTCCTGGATCCATGGTCACGTGTCAGGGTGGGGTGGGGTGGGCCCACACCTAGCACATCCTGTGGAGTGAAGTGGGGTGGGAAAAGCACAGGCTGATATGACACAGTAATTCAATTTCCATACTATCTCAAAAAGTCAGAAGTAGAATGGTAGGAAAAGAGAGAAGGTAAGTTCCCTCAAGAATTTGCAGACAGAAAGGATTCTAAGGGCTTTAAGACTAATGTCTTGCCTCCTACAGCAACCGGGGAGAACCTATTCAGAAGAACCAGGGTGACAAGAGGACAGAGAGGGGCAGGCATCCATCCCTGGGAGTTCCCCGTCTACTGGCAGAGAAAATACTCAGCACAGCCCAAGGAAACTCCCACCCAGGCACTCGGAAGCTCAGACATGGATAAGGAACCCTCTGGGTGTCGGAGTGCTTCTCAGGGGAGGAGTCTGAGCAGACTTCCTGGAAGAGATGGTAAAGATGGCATTAAATTAAAACAGACTCAAACCTGAACGTGTCTGGTCATCACCTGGAGCACTTGTTAAAATACACAGAGCCCCAGATTCGTCCTGAATCAACATTCCCGGAGCGTCTATTTGGCAGGTGGGTCCCACAGAGTCAGCGCTCAGGTGGTTCTGTGGCGGTGGCCTAAGGCAGGCTGGCCTCTCACACTGGAGGCAGAGCGACAACGGCTGGCAGAGCAGCCTGTCCCGAGCAGTGAGGAGTGGGAGAAGCCGTGTAAGAACAGGCTGTCTGGCTGGAGGCACAAACCGTAGCCATGAGAAATAAAAGGAATAAAGGGGACAAATAGGTTTGGACACATGTAAAAAAGTAGGCGATTAACTTTTATTTTGAGTGCCTACTGTGCTAAGCATTTTTTGTAACTAATTCAAGTATGACTCATGCCAGGTAGGGGCCAGGGGCATTATTATCACCATATAGATGAGGAAACTAGGCGCAGAGAAGTGATCTGGATTCCTCAACTTTCCCTACCTCCTCAGTCCTGCATTGTTTTACTTTTTCACGTGTATTTTCATTGACTGAAACCCATATATTCAAGTGCGAAAAAAATTAAGTATAATTTTGATCCATTCGCACTGAACAGCTATTGCTGTGTTGGCTGTTGTCATTTTTTTATTTGACAATCGAAGGGAAAAGAGGTCAGTGCCCCTGCCTAAATAGTTAGATGTTGCATGTTTTAAAAATTCTTGCAGCACACAGGTTGAAAATCGCTGGCTTAGAGAAAGGTATCCTGACGATTGTCAGTTTAGGGTTGGTTCTGTAAACCAAGTTCTAAAATGAAAATTTAGTATTTTGAACAAATATGACTAATAAAACATTTAAAAATATTTAAAAATGTAAATAATGATAAAAAATAATTTGGACAATTCTGGTGAAAGCTGGGGGTTGGAGAGCCAGAGCCCACCCAGAGCCTCCCATTCTGCCGTCTTTCTCCACTGAGTTGAGTGTGGAAAACACCTGAGGCAAACCTGGCAAGGTACCTTGCTTGGCTAACAGCTGGCTCACTTATCCCTGGCTTTCCTGTGCTAACATCTAAAGACGCAGGTAACCTCAGGGGGGAATGAGCGGAGGGTGCTAAGCCATTTGTCCAAATCTAAAAATCCAGAGGCCCAGGACCATCCAGGTCTTTCAGGGGAAGAGACCGAGATGAGTTAGGGGACCTGGTTCTATTTACCATTCTCCTTTAGGAATTGCTTTAGGCTAAGGGCAACATTCTAAGACACCTGGAGGAATACTTGGAAATCTCAAACAAATCAACCCCCCCCTAAAATAGCCGGAGATCATACAGGAAAAATCTGAAATGCTTTGATTCAACAAACATTTCAGGGACTACTACTATATGCTGAGTGTTGGGAATACGATAGGGGAAAAACACATTCCCCAGCTTTGTCAAGTCTGTAGCCTCGCACGAGAGTCAGGGAAATAAAAACACAAGGACAATACAGTCCACTAAGGGTCTGGTAGATGCACAGAGTGGTACAGGATGCACAGAAACGATGCCCAATGAAGTTTTGTGTGGTCCTTTTCCCTCTGTTCTAAAATGGCATGTGTTTCAGACATGAAATTTTACGTACGAAGAATCTTATGCCATGTAGAGGAAAATGGCACTTGTATGGGATTCAGACTTTTAACTCAGACTCATTTCTGTGGTTTTATTCCCTTACCATTTCATGTGGCTGAGGTTTTCAAGGCGTGAAACACCTTCTCAATATACAGTCATTTTGTGGAGTGGAGAGTACTCTGCATGAAGTTAGTCAACTCTAAGGAATGGCTGCTTGAGCTGGAATTAGTTTTACTGATACCCAGTTGATAGTCACATTTTTTTTTTTAGGGGAAATTACATTTCACCTTTTTTAATAGAATTCTTACAGGCAAGTTTGCTTGCAGACATCAGCATCTTCAGCTCTACACCACTTTCATATTTAAATTGTGCACCCACTCACCTTCTGCAGAGTTGCCACTCAAACAGGCCACAAGCAGAGGAAGTAGGAGACAGGTACAGACCAGTAGCTGGGGCAAAATGGGGCAGACAACCCACTCTTCCCCTCCGCCCCAGAGTGACAACCACCAAATCTAAATCTTGCTTGGACCTCACCTGGGAACTTTAGATTCGTATATCCAGTGGCCTACAGGTTGCTTACATCATCTCGTACTCAACAAATTGAAGATAAAACTCCTGATTTCCACCCCAGATCTGCTTCACCTACATGCAGCTTTCCCCATCCCAGCAAATGAAAGCTTTCTCCTCCCAGATGCTCAGCCCAACAACCTTGCCATCATCCTTGCCTTCTCTCTTATCCCACGTTTTCTCCTTTAGCAAATCTTGTTGGCTCTCCCTTCCAATATGCCCAGAATCCCCCTCTTCCTATCACTGTTACCCTGGCCCATGCAGTTTTAGTACCTAGTGTGAAGGAACACCACATGTCCTTCCACAGACAAGTATTACTTGCCCTGTTCTTTTTTTTTTTTCCTTTTTAAAGATCTTATTTATTTAATTTTACACATAGGGGAAGGGAGAGGGGAAGAGAGGAACAGAAACACCAACATGTGGTTCTCTCTTGTTGCACCCCCTACTGGGGACCTGCTCCACAACCCAGGCATGTGCCCTGACTGGGAATCAAACCAGCGACCCTTTGGTTGCTCAATCCACTGAGCCACCCCAGCCAGGGCTATGTGCCCTGTTCTTAAATGGCCAGACTCCAGGAAGTCCACCACCTCTTTCCAGCTGTCGTTGCCTGATGGACTTTCCGTATGTCCTCCCACCCTTCGCCATTTCTGGCCCCTGGACACAGATTTCTCTTCCCACCCGGTGAAGAATAATAATTACTGCCAGTTTATGGGGACCCAGGCCCATTACACATAGCATCACAAGGGAGGACCCTCTAGAGACGGCTTTCTTTCATGATCTCAGCTTTGATATTTACTAGCTGTGGGACTTGGAACAAGCGATTTAATGCCTCCGTTTTTTCATCTGTAACAATGAGAGTGATAGCCCCTGCCAATAAATTAATGCATGTAAAAAATTTAGATCAATGCCTAGCACTTAATAAGTGCTCAGATAATGGTAGCTACTATAAGATTTACATACATTGTCTCATTTCAATTGAGTGTAGCAGTTAAGAACTGGGGCTCATCTCTCGGTTTCGCCATTTCTTAGCTGGGAAACCTTGAGCAAAGGCCCGACCTCTCCATGCCTCCCTCGCCCGACCTGGAAAGTGGATGGTGCTGTAGTGAGTTGCGTAAGGGCTCAATAAATGTTAACTATTATTATTCAGCTCTGACACCAGCCCCATGAGACCACAGAGCAAACACAAACTGAAGGTGACCAATGGCGTGACTATCCACAGCTGGGCAGTTACCTCTCTGTTTTCTCAGGGATCAGTAATGAGAGAGTTTGTCTTAGAATTATGGTACAGAGCACCAAGGACAATTAGCTGTTATTACTCCCATTTTCACAGATGAGAAGGTTGAGGATCAAAGAGAGATAAGGGTATGAGCTTCAAATCCCAGCTGGGCCATGAAACAGCTGAGTGATCTCAGGTGGCTGATTTAATCTCTCTGAAGTGTAATTTCCTTATTTTTAAATGGTGATTAAAGCAGCAAGACTGATGGGGTTGTTATAATGATGGTATAAGATCATGTAACTAAAATGCTTAGCATGGTGCTCTTATTATGATCCCCATTTTTATCTGCAGGGAAATGGAGACAGAGAAAGGCCAGGTGACTTTCCCAAGGGGAAAGGCAGTGGCCAATTCAAACTTCAACAGGTGTTCACCTGCCCCAGATCCCTACCGTCCTCACATCACACCATGCCTCCTCTCGGAAGGTGGAACGAAGGCCGATGGGGCTATCCTGGCACCCAAAGATTGGGATACCTGGAAAAAGGTAGCTAGCAGACCTCCCGCCGCGGACTCCGGAGCCCTGGGCAGAGACGGTGGCTTGCCAAGCTGGTGGTAGGCTGGCTAGGCACACGCAGGGGCTGGGAGGAAGGGAAAAGGAAAGTGACAGGGAAGGAGTGAACAGCTTTCTTACCCCTTCCTCCAGCATACCCTCTGTAATCTTAGAAATATAGAGTCAAACGGTAACGACTAGGTTTATAAGGACAAAGTTAGGGTTAGTTTATCCCTCTCCCCCCTTTCCCTTGTGCCCATACTTGATTCATCCCAGGCAAGGTGAAGGGAGGGGGCAAATAAAACATGAAAAATAAAAAGTAGGTGTCTTCCCTCACCAGGCTGTAAGTCCCAAGAAGGTGTGTTTACTTATCCTCGTAGGCCAGTGCCTATGTAATACCCGGCACACACCAGGGAGCTGGTGAATATAATATAGTGTAGAAATCAGATCATATCGATTAGCCTCCTTGTATTTCCTACGCTCCTTCTCAAACACATGTCCTATTTCACATTGTTTGCCCCTATTTCCAGTTCTAGGGCTACCTAAAACGATTTCAAATTAGTATTGAGTTCTGGAGAATCGTGGTCACACTTACCCCATCCCGACGTGCCTGTCCTGCTCCTCATTCCCAAGCCCTCCTTCCCCTGGCCAGTTTCTCCCAGGGTATCACTCCATCTTTGGCCTCACTGTCCCTCATTTTGACACAGAAAGAGCTTGGTGTTTAAAGACAGAAGACCCAAGCTGAGTACTGTTTCTGCCCCAAGTAATGCCCTCTAAGCCTCAGTTTCTTTATCTGTAAAATCGGGCTAAATTACGCCACCCATCTCATGAATAATTGTGAGGATTAAATTGATGACATTCACGGAAGGCACTGAGAACAGGGCCTGGCACACAGCAAACATTATGTAATTGTCACTGCTGTCGCCATTGTTTGTCATTGAAATAAGCATGCATAAAAATGTTTTTAATTATAAAGGGCCATAAAAATGTAAAAGACTATTATTATGACTTTATAGTGAGTAAATCTTGGGGAGTGGCAAATGATCTAATCTTGTATTCCTTAATAATGCAGAAAACCCTTAGAGAAGCAATTTTTTTCTGACTTTTTAATTGCCAGGTAGTACCTCCAATAGAAGAAATAGCCCATCTCACACACACGTCACATCACATGATATTATCTTGTCTGTTTCTGTGTTCATGACCTGCCTGTCCCCCAAACTGAAATGAAAACTCCATGACAGAGGAAGTTCTATCTGTATTGTCTAGCATGTGGCACACAGTAGGTATTTCTGTGGGACCAGTGAACAAATGAGTGAAGTTCTACTGCAGATAGCAAAGTGCCAGGCCACAGAAACATCACGGGAGCACGAGGACTTCAATCCAAACTGAACCCTCCATGGAATCACTCCGCAGAAGGCACTGCTTGTCCATCAGTGTTGACTGCCTTAGACGACCAAGATCAGGGTAGGAGGGGTAAGTGTCCATGAACAACTGAAGACCAGCCCTCTACTTTTGGAACAAGGATGCAGAAAGAAGAGATGAGGCTAAAATCTCTGCAAAGAACTTCTTTCATTTGCCCAGGAAGGCTTTCTGACTGCATTTGATTTCCCCCGCCCAGCAGCTGAAGCTATTTCGTGTAGGTTTTAAGCTTCTAATCATATTTGAATGAGGGATCCCAAGGCTCAAGTGGAGGTTGCTAGGCTCCTTGGAGCTCCCTCGGCCTTGCCAGAGAAGAGTGCCCAGGGAGCATATATAGGGCCCATTATTATGACGGTTTATTAATAATAATATTGTTATTAAATATTTATGAACTACTCATGCTCTGCTCGATGGTGACCCTCCAACCTTTCCAGCAACGCCAGGTCCCTAACCCTGAGTCCCCCAACCCTCCCTGTGTATTGTGATCAGATAGAATTGCGACAGGTCGCCTTGGCCGCCTCGGCTGACCTTAACCACAGGGAACCCAGGCGTCCGGGTTCTCCCGTGGGGCAAGAATCCGCTCCTGGTTGCCACGGGGTCTGTGTGCAGAATGTGCTCTACGGTGTGTACCCTACCTGGGCTCCAGGAGCAGAAACGGGGAGGGGCCAGGTGCCAGCTTCCTACGGGGTCCACCTGGCGGCCGCCCCCGCCCCTCCCGGGGTCTCCGCCAGTCCGCGGACAGGCTTGGGCGCGGCCCGGGGCTCTCCGGCCCCACGCGGGCGACCCCGCGCTGCCCCACTCCCAGAGCTCCCGGCCGCCCGGCCCAGCAACCTGGAGCCCCGGCCCCGCGGCAGTTTTTTCTCTTTATCATAAATATATAAATTATGCTAATTACGGGCATTGCATATTAACCAAACCCGAAACCTCCCCTGCCCGGCCCCCTCCCCCTCCGTGCAAACCCCTCCCCGCCCCGGACCCCGCTACTTACCGGAGCCCGAGCCCGAGCCGCCTTCGCCCCGGGTGCCTGGTGGCTACCGATTAGAGATTCATCTCACAGCCTGGGCCGGGAGGCCGGGGCCCGGGGCGGCCGCCGCCTGTAGACAAAGAAGCCAGTGCGGCTCGGCTCGGCTCGGCTCGGCCGGGGAACCGGTCGGGACCCGCCGCCGCCCCCGGGCCCCCAGCCCGGGTTGGACGGAGCCGGAGGGGACTTCGCGGGCTGCGCTGGGCGGGGGCGGGACGGAGGGGAAGCGGGCCGGGGAAGCTGGGGTGGGGGGGTGGTCAGGTATATATATTTTCCTTCTTTTTCCCCTTCCACGGCCCCCCCTTCTCCCTCCCCCCTTTTTCCCTCCTTCTGCTACTTGGATTTTTTTAGCTGCTGCGTCATGAGCATAATTTATGCAGAGAGCTTTGCCGCATGCTGCACCGCGCGCGCCGGCCGCCGGGGGCGGGCGGGGAAGGGAGGGGATCGCGGAGCCAGGAACCGGCGGTGGGGGCGGGGAGGGGACCCTCGGCCTCCGGCCACGGCGGGAGGCCCCCAGAGGCTCGCCCCGGACCGGGACGGAGGGCCGGCGGGGCGGGCCCTGCAGCCCCCTGCGAGGCTCCGCGGGGGGCCGCTTCGTTTCGGAAGGTGCGCGCGCGGGCGGGCGGACTCGGACCCTACGCCGCGGTCCCTGCAGCCTGGGGTCGGGGCGGTGACGGCTGCGACTCCCGGCAGCCACCTTTCCCTCCCTGCGTTGGTCATCTGCCCTTCTCCACGCTGAAAGTCAAGTTCGTGCCCTTCCCCAAGCCTCAGGCCGGGGCGTGTCTGCGAGAAAGGAGGGGACTCGGGCGTCGCTCCGCCAGCGTCCAGCCCGGCACAGCTGAGCCGGGTCTTCACCTCCGGGCGGAGACCCGGGTCCGTCCCGCTCCCGACCGCCCTGGAGGCGGCGGCGGGCTGTGCTGCGTGGAGACAGCTGGCCTGCGTTCTTGTCCGGGAAGACAAGGAAATGTGCAGAATAACAAAAGTTCTGTGCAATGGTGAAAGCACAATGTCCGCCCCGGGATGGTAGTGGTGGGAAGGTTTGGCTCGTCTGGAGGCTCTGGAAGGTAGGGGAGGGGACGGGGTAAGAGGCCGAGTTTGGGACCGAGGGGAAGCAGCGGGAGGGCGGTGGACACACGGAAGGCGGAGGGGTTGGGAGACGCTAGAGGAAGAGGAGTGAGGGGAGTAGAGCCGGGGAGCAGGGAGGCTCTGCGCCCCCCGCGAGCCTGGACCCCGCGTCGAGGCAGCCTGTGGGGAGACGGGCACGCGCGAGCGGAAGGACGCGCAGCCGCAGCGCCCCCCCAGGCAGCGCCCGGCGCGGGCTGGTCGGGGAGCACCGCGAGGAGGGGAAGGGGGGCGCAGCGCCCGGTGACTCCGCACCGCCGCGCCCCGTGCGGGGAGTTCCCCGCAGCTCGCTCGCCCCCGGGACCCCTCGCAGTGGGCCCCGCCCGAGGCCCGGCGCCGCCCTCCGGGTCCGGCCCGCGGAGCTCAGGGTCCATCCGCTGGTTGTTTCCACCTGGGGGCGGGGAGGCGCCCTGATGTCAGATTTACGAGCACCGAGGAGTTAGGAGTAGAATATTTAGGTTTTAGTTGCAACTCCCTCACTAGAAGTCCGGGCAAGTCATTCAACTCCTTCATTACTTAAAAAGGAGGGTCCCCGACTGGTTTGGGCGTCCTCTTGACGCTCCTCTCCCTCTTTTTCTCCCTCCCTCCGCCTCTCTCTAAAAATCAGTAAGTAAAATCTTTAAGAAGAATAAAATGAGAGTGGTATCTGTAATCACCACTTCTAATGGTTGAAACTTAAAAAAAAAAAAAAAAAAAAAAGAAAAAAGAAAGAAAAAGAGAGGGGAAGGCCCTGGCTGGTGCGGTTCAGTGGATTGTGCCGGCCTGCGAACCAAACGATCGCTGGTCGGATTCCCAATCGCCCTGGCCAGGGACGCTTGAGAGTCAACCATCCATTGATGTTTCTCTCCCTCTCTTCCCCCATGAAGAAAGAAAGGGGGAGAGAAACATTCATGTCTGAGAGAAAACGTTGATCGGTTGCCTCTCCCATGCGCCCCACGGGGGACCCCGCCGGCACCCTACCCAGGCATGTGCTGGCACAGAACTGGCATCAAACCCTTGACCCTTTGCTTTGCAGTACAGCTTTCAACCACCCCGGTCGGGGTGGGGCTGAAGCTCCTTAGATTAATCATGAGCCTGTATGTGAGCTCTATACAATTGTTTCCTTGCTTGTACAATAACTGGAATCACTTTAATAGCCCCGTGAAACGTACGTGTGGTAGCATTACAGCTCTTGGGGGTTTTGTTTGGTCTGTGGTCCTTCCCCTCACACTGTAAATTCCTTGACAGCACAGGTTGTGACTTAGTTTTGTAAGTCATGTGTTTCCTACCACTCTTTATGTGACGTGGTGTAGGACTGTCACCACGAAGACAGAACCTCGGGCTCCGTGGCTTGGTTTGGTGCTGTACGCAGATCCGGTGCTGTGGGTAACGTGTATATTGGGGGTCCTGTGAAGAAAGAGATGGATATGTCTAAGGGGTTCCAGTGGACGTACATGGAAACGTTAATTGTGGTTTTCTTTTGGAAAATGAAACCTTTAATTTATAGTGTTTATATTTCTGTTACTCGAATGTTACTTTTTAATTTTTTGTTGGGGTATGACATGCACACAGTAAAGTGCACAAATCTTAAATGTACACCTTGATGACTCTATACATGGTGTATGCAATCACCACCCACAATAAGATACAAAGCATGTCCGACACCCGGGAAAGCTCCCTTGTGCTCCTTTAGACCCGATAAACTCCCAGTGACCACTGTTCCAATTTTGATCACCACTGATTGGTTTGCTGGTTCTTGAACTTCATATAAATGGAGTCAGACAGTGCATTCTCTTTTGTGTCTGGTTTCTGTCATTCAACAGATGTTTCTCATTTATCCATGTTGTCGAGTCTAGCAGTATTGTTATTGTTATATATATTTCATTGCATAATTATGCTACAGTTTATTCATTCTATTGTTGGGCACTGGATTGTTCCTGTTTTTGTCTTTTTATTAATAAAACTGCTATGAACATTCCTTTACAAGTCTTTTGGTGAATATATGGACTTATTTCTACTGGGTAAATACTGAGGAGTGGAATTGCTAGATTTGGGGTATGTGTTTAACTTTTGTAGCTGCTGCTAAATAGTTTTCCAAAATGTTTGAACCAATTTATGTCTTTACTAGTAACGTATGAGAGTTCTAGTTGTTCTGTATCTTCACCAATACTTGCAGTGCATCCTTTTTTTTTTTTTTTTGGTGCAAGTTTGCAATATAATCTTTTCGGAATAGTGTATATTTTATAATCAGAAAAAACTCAACAATATAAATATTTCCAAGAGTGGATAGGGAGATGTCACTCACTAGAGGCTTCCTTCTGCTTCTCATGCCAAATAAAACTCTTCAGCAGAATCCTCAACCCAGTGCTTTTTTTCCCCTTCACTCCCACTTCCCACGCCTTCTGAGCCTACATTTATCTAAAAAAATACTTATTTTTTATCCACCATTGGCCAGATACCTGGGCTGGCTGCTAAGTGTTCAGTGGAATTTATAGTTTGCTGGGAAAACATTAAACAAAAAATAAACACATGAATTTATCATTATACATGATAATTAAGAACATAAGAAGGTGAGTTAACACCCGGGGACAGGGATGACACTTCTAAAGAAGTCATACGTAAGGTGTATAGGGCAACGTTTGGAAGACAGAATAAGCAGGAAGCAGAAGGAACAGCAGAAGAGGCGATGAGGCAGGCAAGAGGTTGGGGTTCGAGAACCAGAGGCTGGCAGGATGCGGCTGGAACACAGAAAGTGACAGCACAGAATGAGGATGAAAAGATAGCACCGGATCCGGAAGGCCTGGCTAGATACACCCCCTAATCTTTCTATTTAATTGGGTCCCTTCGTTTTTTTACAAAGTCTATCAAGATTTATCTCCTCCAAGAAGCCTTCTTGAATAATACATTATTCTAATTAATATTATTATTTTAATTATATCATTGTTCCAATAACTTCATTGTATAATTTGTCATTCATAGGCCGTTCATTCTATTTCCTGAGAATACTGTTTTACCCCCCGGATGTGGGACAGAGCCTCCTGCTTCCTCTTTTGCTTGCTCTCCAAGCACCCAACTTATCAGGGATGCTTTATTCATAATAAGAGTCCCCCTTGGCACACACTTTATTCCTAGAAAACTCTAGTAACGTAAGCAGATAATCCGTGGGGTCCTTACTTCCTTGGCTGGAGAACTGATCCCATTCCAAGTCTTCAAAAGTCGTGGAGCAACCAAATTTCCCCAGGTTCGTGCATGTTTTCCCAAACACCTTCCTTACCTCCATAGTCAGTCTTGCCCCTCCCCCTCTCAGTGGCCAGACTAAAGGCATCACGGCTGTTGCTAAGGGACTGAGGCTGGGGCAGCTGGGAGTGAGCTGAAGGATGATTCAGCAGGGAGTCAGGTTGGTCAGCACGGAAAGAACCTCTCAGCTGTGAGAGCAACTCATTTCCCAGTGCTCCTCCAGCCGGTTGTTTTTTTAACCCCCCTGTGTGTGTGTTACTTGCGAGTTATCTCTGAAAGCATTTAGGATTAAAAATCAAAGTAAAAAAATCCCTGGAGACTTAAATGTTATAGTGTTATGGATTGTTGTGATTGGTCAATTTTCTTAAAACAAGGAAGCTCTAGTCCATCTCAACTGGTTGCATCAAAGTCCTTGTGAGGAGAATGGGCTGTGAAGGGGAAGGTCCCAGGTGCTGTTAACAACCCAGGAATATTCTAAGACCAGAAGCCAGGTTTTTGAGAACTTGGATGTGACAATGAGTGTGGCTGTGCATGCCCCATTTTTTACAGACCTCCCACCCTGAAATGCACATACAGTATTTTATTGTATTTACTTTAATTTTAGCAATGATGTAACACTCTGTTTCTGGGCCATTGTCACTCTGACAGATCACCCTACCAGCTCAAAGGGTAAATATGGTTTTTCCCCCCATAATTTTTGTACAGTAACAAGGTGAGGAACGTTTCAGCTCATAAATTATTTACCAAACCTCACAGGCATAATAGGCTGTGTGCATATTCATCAGGCTATCATCCATTATTCATAAGAAGTTCACTTAGACTATTAGAAGAAAATGAGGTTGTTGATTGAAATGCTGAAGAAATGTGGGCTTTTGTCCTCCCCCCCGCCTTTCTCCCATCTGAGTTGGTCTGGAAGTTTCCATCAAAAAATGATACCGTAGGGAAAAAAATTTATTCCTGACATGCAGATGTGTTGATAAGAAGGAAGGAGAGCTTGAAATAGGAAATAAACTGGCAGAATCAACCACCATCCATCTAACTTGGCTTAAGGCCATTGACTCCTGCTTCCACAAATATTGTGGCCAGGAAGTGGCCAGAGGGGGTTCCCTTGGTTGCAACAAAGGACAGCTTTGGCAAATATGATAGAGTTAATACTTACATTAATTAAGATGCGGGTTGCAACCCTGACTGATGTGGCTCAGTGGGCTGGGCCATCATACAGCAAAGCAAAAGGTCATTGGTTGGGTTCTAGGTCAGGGCACATGTCTGGGTTGCTGGCCAGGTCCCTGGTTAGGGGTGTGTTGGAGGCAACCTATCGATGTTTCTCTTCCTCTTTCTTCTTCCCTTCCCCTCTCTAAAAACAAATAAATAAAATCTTTTTTAAAAAAGGTACAGTTTGCATTCTACAGCCAGAAAAGTATTTACATTTATCTCCTTATTTGACCTTCACAAGTCTGAGAGGTAGGAATAGTTTTCAAGATGAGAAAACTGAGGCTCAGAGAGGCTGACTGACTTGTCTAAGGCTGAACAGCTCGTGAGAAACAGACCAGGATTAGAGCCTAAATTTTCTTCCACATTCCATGTTCTTTATATTCTGGATGATAATAAAACCCACCATGCCCAAGGTAGAAGCATTTTAGAATGTTTTCCATTAACCACTGATTTTATTGGTTTCCCTTTTTTATACCTTTATTATTCCCATGAGCTACAGAGGCAATATAGACTTGATAGCATCAAATAATACAAAGTTCTATAGGATAGAGAATAACAAGTGTCCCTGGTGCACAGACAGGCTGTTAAGGGCCTCATCTGCCAGCCTCCATCACCACAGGAAGCAGTGGGAGACATCATAACCAGTCAGACCCAGAGACCTGGGCTCAGATCTGGTCACGGTCACGCACCAGCTGTGTGACCTTGAGCAACATAGCCCCTTTAAAGCACATTTATAACCTGGAGACAACACGCCTCGGGGGTTTGGTGCTAAGTGAGATACTGTATATGAGACCCAAGGGTCAGCATTTTCCTCACCTCCCTCCAGTTTGTAGATTCGGGGTAGAGGAATGGCTAACGAGGTTCTTCTCATGCCCACACCCAAGTCCTCCGCTTGACCATCAGTGTCATCCGATCCTGGGCCACTCACTTGGCTGCTGGCCACAGCCGAGAGCTCCCGGTGTGGGTCCCCTGAATAAAACACACTGTATGCACAGTGGGACACAGCTGTGAACTCTCCCTGACGTGTGACCACACAAGGTTATAACTGACTGAAGTGTGGGGGGAAACTAAAAAGAGGTTCAGTGAATAAAGGAAAACATTAAAACTTTGTATTTTGCCCTGGTCATTTAGCTAAGTTGTTTGGAGCATCGTCCTGGACACCAAAAGGTTGCAGGTTTGATCTCCAGTCAAGGCACATACCTGGGTTGGGAATCCATCACGTATAGTAGACAACTGATCCACGTTTCTCTTTCACATGAATGTCTCTCTCTCTCTCTGTCCCTTCCTCTGTATTTAAAATCAATAAAAACATATCCTCAAGTGAGGATTAAAAAAAAACCTTTGATTTTTAACTTTCTCTATAATCCAAGTGTAAAACAACTAAGAAATTCAACCTTTATTAAGAGGTCAGGTCCTTTCATGGATGAACACCAGCCGCTAACCTGGCTCCCAGCCCTCAGATCTGCTTCCCTCCCTGGGAACCCCTCCTTCAAACCTCCGCCCCTTTCTCGGAAGCCCCAGGTCCTTCCTCCCTCTGGTTCCTCAGCTATCCTCAGAAGTACATGTTACCAGATCTGACATATTCAGCCTGGAAGACTGTTGGGAAAAGGCACCCAGCTGCCTGTGTTCCAGTAAGCTTTGGCACACAGCCATCCAGCAGACTGTCTGGGGGAGGCTGACAGGCCAAGTCCTGACCCCTTCCGGTCTCTGAGATGCAAGTGAGGCTGTTCTTCAGAGCGCCCTTTGGAAAAAGTAAGTGACCTTTGGAACACACACACACACTCACCTCAAAAATAAAATGACATCTCAACCCCCAAACCAGCAAATGTTGATGTGTGTTAGTATCAATCCACTATTTTGCATTTTAATAAGCACTTAATGATCTGATGCAGTGATGCAGGTGGTTTGGGATTTCACATTGAGAAAAACTAATCAAACCCCAAAAGAAGAGACACTGCCCTAGGACGTCCTAGGCTGCCCAGCTGCAGTGGAATTAGCCCTGTACATTATTATGCAGAGCGGTGTCAGTGCCTCTCCTACAAAGGCCTGCCAGGAATAAGAAAGGAGGGTCCATTTCTCAGTCATATAGCTTATAATCCTTGTTCCCTTATTTACACAAAACCAGCCAAAGCTTTAAAAGACTGCTTCAAAGAGCCCGGTTAGATTCTCCCACAGATCTCCACTCTCCCTCTTTGGGGTGGGAAAGAGTTGGTTTTGTTTTTTTTCTAGTTACATAAGTGAAGAGCACAACACATAGTAGGTATTCAATGAAGGCACATTAAAAAGCTCCAATCAGTGTAATGAGCTGGGAGCAGGGGGCCGAGCAGGAAGAGGCAGCGTTGTTCTCTGAGCCCCATGGAGCACTCGCAGCTTCCCCATCTCCTCTGCAGCACTTACTGCATTACACTGCAATTTCCCTTCCGATGTCTGTCTCACACAAGCGCCGTAAAAGAGTTCATTAGCCATCGCCCTTGGCTTTTCCCTCTTCCTCATCCCAACACTATTTCTAAACATCTTTATGAGATGTAACTGACATACAATAAACTGCACATTTAAAATGTACAATTTTGTAAGTTTTGACATATGCACACACACCTGAAACCATCACAGTCAAGATTATAAACATATCCATCACCCCCAAGAGTTTCCCAGCATCCATCTCTCCTTCCTGCCCCTTCCCCTCCCTTTACACAGACAGCCACTGATGTGTTCTTTATCACTATAGATTAGTCTGTATTTTCCAAAATTGTATATGAATGAAATCATGCAGTATGAACACTTTTTATAAATCTGGTCTCTCCCTCAGCATCGTCGAGATTATTCGTGTCATTTTGTGGATCGCAGTCCATTCCTTCGGCTGCACGGTAATGCCGCAGTTTGCCTGTCCATTGACCTGCTGGTGAACATGCAACTCGTTTCCAGTTTGTGACTCTTACAAACAAAGCTGCGATAAACACCACTGTGTGAGTCTTTGCGTGCCACTTGAAACTAGTACACAGTAATATTGAGTGTAAACTGTAAGGGAAAAATTTTAACAAGACTTCGTGTGCCCACAAGCCTTCATTTCTCTTGGGTTAGCAGAGTGGAATGGCTGGACCACATGGTGGGTATGCGTTTAACTTATAAAGACCCAGCCATATCGTTTTCAAAGTAGTTGTGCCATTTTTTCACTCTTACCAGCGGTGTATGAAAATTTCAGTAGCTCCACATCCTTACCAACAGTTGAGATGGCCAGTCTTTTTCATATTTGGCATTTTAATAGGGGTGCCAACATTATTTCAACCTTTTGAATTGGTTAGCACCCATATGGTTTAATTTTTTTTTTTTTTTTTAGTTAAAGGTATATAATGAAAAGCCTCACTCCCATCTCTGTCTCCTTACACCACTCCACAACCACTTTTATGGCTATGTCATGTATTCTTCTAGAATTCTTTAATCAAATACTAATGAATATCCTTGGTTTTCCTGTTCTTCTACACAAAAGGCACCATACTAAGTACACTGTTCTGAACATTTTCTTATTTTTCATTTAAAGAATATTTTGGCCTTGGCTGGTGTGGCTCAGTTTGTTGGCTGTTGTCCTGCAGACTGAAAGGTCACTGGTTTGATTCCCCATCAGGGTACATGCCTGGGTTGTGGGTTCTGTTCTAGGTCAAGGTGCATGCAGGAGGCAACTGATTAGTGTTTCTCTCTCACATCAGTGATTCTCTCCCTCTCTCTCTCTCTTTTTTTTTCCCTTCTCTGTCTCTAGAATCAGTAAGAGAAAAACAATATTTTGGAGAGCTTTCTCATTCTTTATTACAGCCACACAGTATTGTACAGATGTACTAAGATTTATGCTCCCAATTCCCTATTGATGAACATATGGGTTACTTCTAATCTTTTCCTTTTATGAACAACGTTGCAGTGAACAGACTTATATACAGTGTTTCTCATGAGTGCAAATTTATCTGTGGGAATCATCCCTGGAAGTAGGAATGGTAATTTTTAATTTTGATGATATTGCCAAAGTAACCCTATAGGAGTTGTACCAGTTTACACCCTCACGATCAATAAATTAGTGTTTGCTTCTCCACAGCCCCATACACAGAGTAAAATTAGCAAATGTTTGGAGTTCTGCCAACCTGAAATTTGTATCTGTGTAGCTTTTTTTAAAAAAAGATTTTATTTTATTTTTTATTTATTTGTAGAGAGACAGGAAGGGAGGGAGAAAGAAAAGGAGAGAAACATCAACCGGATGCTGCAAGTCCCAAACCAGGGACCTGGCCGGCAACCCAGGCTTGTGCCCTGACTGGGAATTGAACTGGCAAATCTTTGTTTTGCAGGTCTGTGCTGAATCCATTGAGCTACATCAGCTGGGGCTGAACTGTTTTCATATCCTCCCTGTCTGTAAACTCTCTCACCTCTAGGCCTTTGCATTAGCTGTTCCCTCTTTGAGGAACCGTCTTTATTTGCTTGCCTTCCACTCATCCTTCAGATTTCATCTCAGACATCACTGCCAGCAGGAAGCCTTCCCTGACCACAGTAGAGGAGACTGGGTGTTTCCATAACACCCTATACTGCCCTAGTATCAGCAATAAGCACACTGTATTATGATTATCTGTTTGCTCTTCTGTCTTTCCTATTGGGTAGACTGAATTCCATGAGGGCAGGGATTGAGCTTGCTTCTCCACTACTGTTTCCCTAATGCCTGTCCCAGGGCCTGGCACATGATAAGATGCTCAATAAATAGTTGTTAAATTAATTCAGAAAATGATGTTGATAAATGACTAAATGAACATCTCACCTCTTTGGGAGACCCCAGAGAATGAAGAGAACAAAAAGGCTCCTGATTCCTATCCAAAAAAGTGGGCTAGTTGCTAATTAATCCTACCTACCAGAGAAAGCAGTGAGTGGCAACCCCTTCCATTTCTGTTGGTAATCCCAGGTCCTGGGGGAATAAGCAAAATATCTAACAGTTTGTAGAGGAGGTACTGACCAATCTGAGGGCAGCTTGCCTTAGCTAGGTTCTGAAGAATTCCTTGGTGTTAGGAGTTAATTAACCCTTTAGTCACTGAACTATGGAGAAATCCTGAGGGGGTGGGGGATTCCAGTAGAGGGCTAGAGCAGAGGGGCAGATACTTGGGGAGAGGTTTGGGGTCAATGGCTTTTTACCATCCAGTACAAGTATCTGAATATTTAATGCCTGACAGGGCCTGAGTAGAAGTTACTACTTGATCATCAGCTCCGCCCCCTTCCCCCAGGCCTCCCCAGGCTCCCTTTGCTCTTTGCTCCCTCAAAGAGCCTCTAGATTTAGAGCTGGAGGTGACACAAGGATTGTGTGACTTGGGGGGCAGGTGATGAAATGCAGACCCTTGGGAGGCAATGGATTAAAAACACCATAAAGAGATTAGACAATGTAAACAGATGAGAAAAAATGCTTGTAAAGTCAAGCGAATCTGAGTTTGAATACTGGCTCTGTAGCTGTGTAATTTAGTTCAGCTCCTTAACCTCTCTGAAACACAGTTCCCTTACTTGTACCTTTCCTCAGAGTCCAATAGGGACATTAAATAAAAATATCTGTAAGGTCACTGGCACAGTATCAGATTCATACACAGAAAGGAATACAGGGGAGCTGAATCAATGAGGACCAAAGTCAGTTAGTTGGTGACAGAGTAGGACCGGAACTAGGAACCATCTCCCATACTCTCATTGACATGGGCTGCGAGAGTCAACACAGTTCCAGGGTCCCCACCTGAGGAATCAGAGGGACAAGTAAGGGAAATTCCTTTCTCAGTTTCACTCCTTTACATTCTGAGGCCCTAAGCGTAGGATAAGGGTAGGGATAGATTAGTGACCTCTCTTTCCAGCTTCAGGTTTTAGGCTGAATTTAGCTTAAGATCTGATTTGGAAAAGTTACGATACAGGGAAAAAGATTTGCCTGATCTGATCTCCAAAGATTTATTCACTCACTTATTCACCAAGTGCCGATTGCAAAGGCCCTGGGGATAACAGTACAAATAAACAAACAAACAAAAAACAAAACCCCAAAAGAGACTTTTCCAAACTATGGGTCCTGAGTTGTTAGTGGGATGCGAAATCACAACCAGAATTGAAAAATAAATAAAGAAATAGGAGAGAAGGAAAACTACCAGTATATTCATTGTATATGGAAGGATAAGTACTAGGTTATACAAGTTTGCTTCAGTTACATATGTTTATAAATGTGTATATGCTGGGTAATGATTTAGAGTGAATTACTGTGGATTCTGCTGAAAAAATTTTACAAGCTCCTACCCTAGCAGGTAAACTTCAGGACAGCAATGGCGTTATTTCCTTTTAGGACAATGCCTGGCATTGGTAAGTAATCTACAAATAAATGTCTGTAGATTACAACATTGAATGAATGTCTAACACTGTGCCTGCCTTCAAGAAGGACAAAGTCAGACTTCCTGTCAAGATGGAGGTGTAGGTAAACACACTTCACCTCCTCATGCAACCACAGAAAGAATCATAACTAGACTTCAAGATGAATAACAGCCAGAACCACCAGAAAACTGAGCTGTATGGAAGTCCAAGAACCAAGGCTTTAAAGAAGACACATTCATCTAGACAGGTGCCTTTTCTACGATAGGCCATACTACTAAGAGAAGACAGGGAGTCAGAGCAGCTCTACCTAAATGCACAGAAACAAACACTGGGAGGCTGCCAAACCGAGAGATATAGAAATATGGCTCAATTGAAGGAACACAACAGAGCCCCAGAAAAAGAACTGAATGAAACAGAGATAACCAACCTATCAGAGGCAGAATTCAAAACACTGGTAATCAGGATGCTCAAAGAACTCACTGAGTGCGGCAAGAAAATAAAAAAGACCCAGGAAGAAAAGAAGGTTACACTAGGTGAAATAAAGGAAAACCAACCTACAGTGGAGGGGGTGAAGCCGAGATTTAAATAAATGATTTGGAGCATGAGGAAGAAATAAGCCTTCAACCACAACAGCAATAAGAAAAAAGAACTAAAAAAAAAAAATGGGAGAGTATAAGAAACCTCTGGAACATCTTCAAAGGCACCAACATCTGAATCACAGGGATGTCAGAAGAAGAAGAAGAGCAAGAAATCAAAATTTTATTTGAAAAAATAATGAAAGAAAATTTTCCTAGTTTGGTGAAGGAAATAGACATGCAAGTCTAGGGAGCACAGAGAGTCCTAAGTTGGACCCAAAGACAGCCACACCAAGACACATCATAATTAAAATGCCAAAAGTTAAAGATAAAGGATGTTAAAAGCAGCAAGAGAAAATTACAGAGCTACCTACAAAGGTGTTCCCGTAAGACCGTCAGCTCATTTCTCCAAAGTAAGTTTGCAGGCAAGAAAGGGCTGGTAAGAAGTATTCAAAGTGATGAAAAGCAAGGACCTACAACCAAGATTATTCTATCCAGCAAAGCTATCATTTAGAAATGAAAGGCAGATAAAGTACTTCCCAGACAAGGTAATCATCATCACCAAGCCATTATTACATGAAATGTTGAAGGAAATTATCTAAGAAAAAAAGATCAAAACTATGAACATTAAAATGGCAACAAATTCACAACAATCAACAACTGAATCTAAAAAACAACAAAACACCCCAAAACAAACAAAAAACTAAATAAACAACTAGAACAGGAACAGAATCACAGAAATAGAGATCACATGGAGGGTTATCAGCTGGGAGGGGAAGGGGGAGAATGCAGGAAAAGATGCAGGGATTAAGAAGCACAATTGGTAGGTACAAAATAGTCAGAGGGAGGTTAAGAACAGTACAGGAAATGGAGAAGCCAAAGAACTTATGTGTACGACCCGTGGATATGAACTAAGGGGAGGGGAAGATTGCTGGAGGGAATGGGGTTATCAGGCAGAGAAAGCAAAGGGGGAATAATTGGGATGACTGTAATAGCGTAATCAAAATACATTTAGAAAGAAGAACAGCACTGGCTGGTGTAGCTCAGTGGATTGAGCATGGGCCTGAGAACCAAAGGGTCACTGGTTTGATTCCCAGTCAGGCCACATGCCTGGGTTGCGGGCCAGGTCTTCAGTGTGGGGTGCTCAAGAAGCAACCACACACTGATTCCCTCCCTCTCTTTCTCCTTCCCTTCCTCTCTCTCTAAAAATAAATGTAAAAATCTCTCAAAAATAAATGTAAAAATAAATAAATAAATAAGAACAGAGTCCAAAATACAGGAAAAGATAAATATCAGAGGCTGTATAATTCAAGTATTTTAGCCTGAACCAAATTAATAAAGCAAATATACTGAAAAGAGAAAAAAATACCTAAAAGATGTTCAAAAACAAAAACTCTTGGAAATTGGACTTTTAGAATATTTTAGTCACGATAGGCAATATGATGTGTAAGAAAAACAAACCCCAGAGCAAAACAAAAACACCAACTTGGGAGCTTGGGCGCCAGGACACAAGACCTGCTTCTGTAACCAGTTCACCGTGTGACTTGGGACCAGCTCTTTACTTACTTTTCCCATTTGAAAAACAGGGCTGCTCAGACAATACTTGCCTGATGGCGCTTGTGAAGACCCCTTGAAACCATGCATTCTAAGGGTGCTCATACAATACTGGAGACAAAAGTGAAAGCTGAAGTCAGTAGGGGTCTTTTTAGTGGTTTAATTACTTAATTAATCAACAAATGTTTATCAGGTTTCTAAAGTTTACTGAGGGCTTTTCTTTCCAAAGCTTTCCCTTTTCCAATCCTTTTCTAACACCATTCTTATTACATACAATATAGAAGGCAAACTCCATCAGAAAATAGTGGTGAGCTGTCTTGTTCTTTCCCTCTGTTCTTGCACATAACAAGCTCTCAGCAGCTATTTTAAAATGATGGGAGGAAAAAACTTATTTGCTGTCCTAAAGGACAGCATCTTCGCCCTAAAGGGCAATTAAGTTACAGGCAAAGTGATACAAAGAGAAAATATACACAAGGCACTGTACGGGTCACCTGTAAGGAGAGCCAAAGGAAGGGCAGGGCCACAGGCACTCCCTGGGTACCACGAGCGTGCCACTTCTAGTGCTAGCTGTTGTGGAGGACACAACACAGTGCGTCCTTGGTTTTGGTGAGGAAGACAAGCGACACAGAAATAAACACTGACAGCCTGCCTGCGGAACAGACAAGACAGCGAAGATTTGACTGACAGTCTAATTCAGGAAAGATGTGAGCTGAACTGGCAAATATTTACGGAGCTGAGGCTTAAGATGGGCTTGGTAGGAACGCGTGATAGATCAAGGTTTAAGGAGCACATTCTAGGTAGTTAGATAAATCATTGAAATCTATGCCCCTCGTGGAAAGGCTGTCAAGGTAAGGTGACCTTGAGCTGATGCGTGTAGGTGGAAAAGATTCTGGGAAAGAGTTTAATGGTTCTGCCTCTGCCGCAGAGAAAAGGTCCAGTTCTGAGATAATACCTGTACACGTACATATCTGGTTTTCCGCTAGTCGAAGGACACGGGTGGAGGGTAACAGTGCAACTTCGAGCGGGTGGGGCCAACGCGAGTGGGCGGAATCACGCGGGCCCTCCCTTTAGCTACTGGAGGCCTGGCAAAGGGGCGGGGTTTCCGGCGGCAGCGGCATTTGGGCGTGAGGTGACGCTAGAGGACAAATCGGCACGTGACACGGAAGTGACTACGAACAGGAAGAGGACGAAAAAAATAACCGTCCGCGACGCCGAGCCGAACCGGACCCGCAGCCACCATGAACAGCAAAGGCAAGGACAGGGGTGGGCTGAAGCCGACGGGGGGAAAGTAGTGCTGCCCGCAGCGAGCGGGCTTGGAGCCCAGGGACTCCTAACGCCAGCTTGGGGCAAGCTTCGGCGTCCTCCTCGGCCGGCTGCAGCCCCAAGGGCTGTGCCGGACGCCTCCGTCATCCTCGTATTACGGCTGCTCGCTCCCTCCCGGCCCTTTCCCCCTTCAACTCTGTGGCGCAGTTTGGCGCTGTGGACTCGGGCGGAGGGGGGGTTGATTGCAGTGGGGGGGGGGAGGTTTGTCATGATGGGCATCTGCAGAAGCAAATAGGGAGCTAGAACAGGGATTTGGGTAGGCCAATGGGGAGTCAGCAGAGGCGGGGCTCCGCGCTCAGAAACCTTAGGCTAGCCCGGGGTTTAACTAGTAAGGTGCGGGTGCTGGTGGGCGGGCCAGGGCCTGAAGGGTCACGTTCCCCTTCCTTCGCTGGCGGCAGAACACGTTGTGCCTTTTACTGTCAAGACGATCCTTCACCCTCTGTCCGGTCGTAGAATTCGCTTCCACCATTCACTCATTCTTTTAATTTGAAGTCGACCGTGGGTGGACATCTTTGAGACAGCCACCGTTACTCACGAGGTCTTGGCTGGTTACAACCAGGCCTGTGGAGACTATCCAGAGCAGAGGTAGAGTGCAGGGTGCACCCATAAAACATGGGCTTGAACTTGTGCATTCTGGAAGGAACTCGGGCCCAGCAAGACTTTCCACTTCCACCAATGTACTAATGGGAAGAGCAGCTTTGCTGTCCAGTTGGAATCTAGCATTTTCAGCGATAAGGGTGCAGAGAGAATGCTTATTTACTTGGCTCCTCCAGGGCAGTCTGTTTTTGCAAATCCCCTTCTGCTTACTCCCTCTAAGTAAACTATCCAATGTGCTCTCCTTCATTTTGGTGGCTCGGTATGATAGGCAGCATGCATTTATTCTCGTCTTCCAGGTCAATATCCAACGCAGCCAACCTACCCTGTGCAGCCTCCTGGGAATCCAGTGTACCCTCAGACCTTGCATCTTCCTCAGGCTCCACCCTATACTGATGCTCCACCTGCCTACTCAGAGGTGCTTCCAGTTTACTAGACTTAAAATTGTTGAGAACAAGTTGGATCACATTTTCAGTCCTTAGCGAAGTCTGACTCCATAGATTCATGAACAGAAGAGAGTACTCACATGAATAATCTAAAACAGAATATATTTCCTCAGTGTCTGTTGGGTTCAGAATGCACTGATTATTTTTACATTATTTGGTACAGGCTGAGATTAAGATGAATTTGTGTTCTTGAGTCTGATGTAAGCTGTAGCAGGAAGGGATTTAGGAGAATATAGAGCCATAGGGGAAAAGCAATTTATATAATTCATAGATTGTAATCTGCACAGAGATTTAAGAATGACTCATCAAAGAGGAAACAGGAATGAAGTCTAAAATAGAAATGTCATCAAGTAACATTTTGTTCTCCTGCCTTTTCTAGCTCTATCGTCCGAGCTTTGTGCACCCAGGGGCTGCCACAGTCCCCACCATGTCAGCTGCATTTCCTGGCGCCTCACTGTATCTCCCCATGGCCCAGTCTGTGGCTGTTGGACCTTTAGGTTCCACAATCCCTATGGCTTATTATCCAGTTGGCCCCATTTACCCACCTGGTTCAACAGTGCTGGTGGAAGGAGGGTATGATCCAGGTGCCAGGTTTGGAGCTGGGGCTACTGCTGGCAACATTCCTGTGAGTATGGCTTTGTCAGAAAAAACTCAGCCCTTGTGCATTTAAACTTTCTGAAATGACTATATTTTCATCCTTTCCCCATCTTTGGATAATAGTTGATTTTAGTGCAACAAATGACACCCACTAGTCAGGCAGAAAGCAGCTGAGAGGGCCTGTGAACTGTGGCAGGACAGTAGCATCTGGAACCTTTACTGGGGTCTGAGTTAACCAGATTCCTTTGTTTTCTTGCCCTAGGTGTCTTGCCTGCTGCTTTTCCAGTTCACTTTGGTACAGTGAACTGGTCTGGTAACATTTATTTATTCCATAGAATTGACTTAATATTTGCCACCAGCATGGCATTATATTAGGAGCTATGATGATTAAAAAAATGCATAATCTCTTTTAAGTAGCATTTAGGAAGATACTAGGAATTTTACGTCTCCTGTTTAGTTTCCCTCTGTATGGGATTTAGAGCCCAAACGGTCCTTGCTGAGCTTTAAGGCCTATCTGCTTACCATCTGTCAGAGATGAGGCAGGAACAGTATAGCTAGGTAGTCCTTTGGTTATCCCACAGTCATCTGAAAACTACTGAGGGACCCTGTGGTATAGGGCTGTGGGCCTGGCACGTGATCCGTTTTTGGAATGTGGGTAGGAAATCACTGAAGATGCCAGTGGGTCTAGACTACCCATATTCAGAAGGTATCTGTAGGCTTAATCTTGAAACTAGAACCCTTTGAATAAGTGGTGTCCCCTTTTCTCTTTGTATCTGTGGGTTCATAGATCTGCTTTAGAACCCAGATTGCTGGCATACTGTCTCCTAAAAGATGCAGTTAGTCAGCACATTGCCATCTTCCTTGCAAGGTCTTCTATTTCACCTGTATCTGTTTCCCTCAAATCAGCTGCTTTGTGCCCAGTCTTGTCTTTTCCTTTCAGCCTCCACCTCCAGGATGTCCTCCGAATGCTGCTCAGCTTGCAGTCATGCAGGGAGCCAATGTCCTCATAACTCAGCGGAAGGGGAACTTCTTCATGGGTGGCACAGATGGTGGCTATACCATCTGGTGAAGAACCAAGGCCACCTCTGTGCCGGGAAAGACATCGCATACCTTCAGCACTTCTCACAATGTAACTGCTTTAGTCATATTAACCTGAAGTTGCAGTTTAAGACACATGTTGTTGGGGTGTCTTTCTGGTGCCCAAACTTTCAGGCACTTTTCAAACTTAATAAGGAACCATGTAATGGTAGCAGTACCTCCCTAAAGCATTTTGAGGTAAGGGAGGTATCCATTCATAAAATGAATGTGGGTGAAGCAGCCCTAAGGATCTTCCTTTCATTCCTCTGGAGTAGTACTGTACCATACTGGTCTTTGCTTTTAGTAATAAAACATCAAATTAGGTTTGGAGGGAACTTTGATCTTCCTAAGAATTAAAGTTGCCAAATTATTCTGATTGGTCTTTAATCTCCTTTAAGTCTTTGATTTGTATTACTTGTTATAAATGCATTAGTTGTCTGCCTTTTCTTTTCCATCCTTGTCCCACATTCCACCCTTAAACTGTCTTCCATTCCCTCCCACCATCTCCACTGAATCAAGGGTGCAGGACAGAAAGCCAGTCAGACTAATTTCCTTCTCTCCTTGCACTTCTCCCCACTTGTCATCTTTTAACTAGTCTTTCAGAAGGATCCTCTGAAACTCCCTCTGTGCCCAAGCACAGACCCCATTACTTCTGCTTATGCATCTCCTCAGGCAAAAGGGGAGGGTACCTTTGGACCCGCCTCCTAGGTTGTCTCTTCATACATGAACCAAATCCAAATTTGCTTTTGGTGCCAGAAAAACTGAGCTTGTTTGAATAACGCATAGTAACAAACTGTACCGTTAACAACAGTTTGTTTACAATGTGTGTGTGGGCAGGGGGCAGTGAGGAGGATGCATTTCACAAGCCTAATGACTTCAGAGCCAAAATTAAGGGGAGTTTTCAGATCAAAAATTGGTCACCATTTATTGTTTGAGTGTCTGATGCAGCCACTCACAGCTCCCAAGAATTCCTCAGCTGGGTTAATGGGGTCCTATTGTGAACGCCTCACTGCAAAATGACTCCAGTCCAGTGAAATCTCATTAGGGTTAAGATTATTTCAGGGATCCTTAATATTTTAATTTTTCAGCAATTGGAGTTTATTTTATTTTATAATTTCAGTTCATCTAAATTGTGTTCTGTACATGTGATGTTTGACTGTACCATTGACTGTTATGGAAGTTCAGCGTTGTATGTCTCTCTCTACACTGTGGTGCACTTAACTTGTGGATTTTTTTATACTAAAAATGTAGAATAAAGACTATTTTGAAGATTTGAATAAAGTGATGAAGTTGCATTACACCTCACTTCAAGGATTCTTTAATCAGCTTGTTTTTAGATTTATTCTGTTTATATCTTTTATATCTCACCAAGAATTCAGATTGGTGGTACTGCCATTTTTTAAAAAAATGAAGTCTTTGAAATAAATGCAGCAGGACAAGGCTAAGATTGGATCATTCTTAGTTCCACCCAAGATATTTAATTTTCTTCACTTTAGTTCCTAAGCTTTCAGATTTTTTAAAAAATTTATTTTTAAAAATTGAGTTTAGGGGGAGAGAAAGAAACATTGATTTGTTGTTCCACTTATTTATGCATTCATTGGTTGATCCTTGTATGTGCCCTGATGGGGGTAAACCTGCAGCCTTGGTGTACTGGGATGACTCTAATCAACTGTGCTACCTGGCCAGGGCAGATTCTTAAAAGTCTGTTATGCCAGAGGAATTCAGAATATGAACTTAGAAGTAAGGGCATGAGCCCTGGCCAGGTGGCTCAGTTGGAGCATTGCCTTGTACCCCAAATGGCTGAGGCTTCAATTCCTGGTGACAACACATACCTAGATTGTGGGTTTGTTTTCCATTTGGGGCACATATGAGAGGCAACCAACCTATATTTCTCTCTTAACATCAATGTTTCTCTGTCTTTGAACCTGACTTTTGAAAAAAAATTGATTCTCCTAACTCTTGCCCTAAAGTTTGAACTTGAAGAACATGTTTTTAGTATAACAGTTCGTGTGAGTTCAGGATGACCTTCAGTTCCTCCAAAGTTCCATGTGAAATACTGAAAACTGGAAGCTAGCTTGCCAGATTGACTTCCTGAACTCTTGAAGTTTTACTTCGGGTGGACTTGGGGAGCTAATGATTTCTACCAAAACAACTGCACCTTTTAAACATACCTCACTTTGAGATACCAGTTAAATCCAAGAAGCTTCTCTGGGCTTGATTCAAGGACAGTGGGAAAAGTGAGAAGACTGCTCCTGGTTCCCTCTGTGCATACAGAGAATGGACTCTGGGAAACTGCTCCTTGCCAGGGTGGAGAGGAAACCAATCCATCTCCCGGGGTACATTTGTGATGACACCCTTCTGGGACCAGCTTCCCAGGACCAGCTTCACTTCAACTTCCAAAACTTCCCTAGGGTTCTTGCTTGGGTGAGAACATGCAAAGGAGTTAAATACAAAAAAAAAAAAAAAGTCAAAGTTTAAGCAGGAGTAAGTCAAAATGAAAAGGTAGTTATTTCTTAAGAGAATCTGATTTCTGAGTCAATGAAAAATTTTAATTCTGATAAAAATAGCATTAAGTACGACATGAGGGAATACCGAAAGGATGGACTCAGATGAAGGGATGCTGCACGTTGACCAGGAGGTAAGGTCTCTACATGGCCTGTCTCTCCTGGCCTGGCCTTTCACTGTGGCATCCAGCTTCTGGGAAGGAGTATGGATGCCATCTCCACTCGGGCTATCACTAGGTGACCAGGCAGGGGACAGAGGAGCAGCCGGTGACCCTAACTCCCCTTCTCCCCTTTGACTTGTGAAAAAACTGAAGATGACTGGGCACATACTCAAATGTTGCCTAGTATGGGTCCACCTTGTTGGTCAGTCACAAACACTGCAGTGTGCAAAGGCCTGCCTAAAGACATAAGTAGCTTTCTCCATGCCCCTGGTTCCTGGGGTCAGGGATGCTGGATTTGGGCCTCCTCCTGGGAGGAGCTCAGGTTTGCCCGTATCAATCAATGCTTCTCACTGGTTTCAGATAGAAGTTTCACCTAATAAATAGTCAGTGTGTTAGCACTGGAGCCTGGATAAGCTCCTTGAGGCCTGGGGATCACTAGATGAAATATTCCTCCTTCTCCCTGCCCTTGGCTGATTCACTCTCCATCTGAAGGATGGTGCTGGGCTCTCCTTCTGCAGGTTCATAGGTGACGTAGCTGCCTTTGTTCTTGTACAGGTAAAAGAAGATCAAGATCACGACTGACAGCAGGGTGAGGAAGACCACGGTGATAACAACTTGGAAAGGAGAGGAAAATGTAGAGATGTTTCAGGATTGAGTATGTCTCAGTTATTCACAGGGTCCCCTGAGTTAGACACTCCCCTCACTTTTCATAAGGATCCTTCTGGTCTAGTTAACTAGTGTCCACTTCCAAATCCGTATTTCCCCACCAAGCCCAACTCCAGTGGGACACAAGCCCCGCGGTCTCTGGGGGCTCGAGCTAAGGACACAAGGCTTTTGATTTCTGATAACACTGAACTGTCAACCAGTTTCTGATGAGTATAGTAGAAACAGGAAGGAGGCAAACAGGAAATAGCTTATCCCAACAGGAAGGGTTGTTGAAATCCATAGCCTCTGCCAGGGGTCCTCTGCTCCCTCCCATCCTCTTCCTCACCCACTGGACAAACCACACACATCCTCTTCCCGACCCACATACTGGAGTGTAGAGCACATATGAATCTATATATCTATTTGTGGCCACCTCCCAACCTATTATTTACTGGCAGTGCCTCTCACAGAAGTCTCTCAGAGTCTGTGTGTGTGTGTGTGTGTGTGTGCGTGTGGAAGACAACCTACTCGCCAAAATGAGCCCATTCGTGGATTTGGTATCTGATTTGTAGTGCGTTCCTATATAGGGAAATCCTAGTTCATCACACTGGGGTCCTGGCTGCCCGGAACGAGAGGCCCCTGAACTCAGAGATCCCTTGGGTTTGGCTCAGGGCCTTTGTTACCTGCAATGAGCGCTGTGCTGGCTTCCACATCTGGGGGCAGAGTCTCAGTGACCTGCTGAATTGGGGTGGTCAGTTCTGGAAAATAAAGAAGAGTGGAAAAGAAAATGGGGTGAATTTTTTGTTCTAAAGTATATGTTTATCCTTCAAATTTCATCACCCCACCTTCTTCCTATTCAAAAATGTATCATTCAATTTCTATAGTAAACCCACACAGAACCCCTGGGGAATGGAGGCAAAAATAAACCACCACCCAAAGACAGGGCACACGTTCATGGACTCCCCTCTGCCCAGTGCAGTAGGTAAGGGTTTTAGTGTCTGACCAACAGGGTTCAAATCTGAGCTGCCGTTTCCTGGCTGTGGAGCCTTGGGAAAATGACCTAACCTCTCTGCGCCTCAGCACCCTCCCTCATCTGCCAAGTGGAGATAACAGCGCCTACCTTATAGGGTTGTTGTGCCACACAGTAACTCAATGAGGCAAAGCCATTACTAGAAATGTGTATCTTTGCATAAGTGAAATCAAACAATGAGTTTGTATACACTTGTATTACACAGTATGTGCTTTTCTTCAATGTTCTTACACACTCTCTGTAAACATTATTTTTTAAAAAAAGATTTGATTTACTTATTTTTAGAGAGAGGGGCAGGGAGAGAGAAAGAGGGAGAGAAACATCAGCTAGTTGCATCTTGCACATCCCAGGCACATGCCTTGGCCAGGAACTGAACCAGCAAGGGCTGTGAACATTTTTTTCAGATTTATTTATTTTTAGAGAGAGGGTAACGGAGGGAGAAATAAAGGGAAAGAAACATCAGTGTGTGGTCTTGCATGTCCCCAACTGGGGACCTGGCCTATAACCCAGGCATGTGCCCCGACCAGGAATCAAACCAGCAACCCTCTGGTTCACAGGCCAGTACTCAATCCACTGAGCCACACCAGCCAGGGCTGAACATTACTTTTAAGTAATGAGATAAGGCTCCTCCCTTATTAAAAACCCTGTCTACACTCACTAGAGTAGGCCCTGCAATTTGAAAGATTCTGAAACAAGGCCTCTCCTGTCTTAAAACAGACCCTGTACTCCGTCCTGCTCTTGGTCTATCTGTCCCTTAGAGCCAAACGTCCTTCCTCTTAAGTATCACCCCGGGTGGGAACCCTACAGAACTAGTGGTCTCCAGAAGTCCCTGCCAGATGTTAAATGGGAAGTCAGGAAGCCCTTCAGTTCTCCCCTAGTTAGCATTTTAGTATAAAAGTTTGACAAGGGAACAATTAACATTACTACAGGACAGAGGCACCTTGGGGAAAACAGGGTGGCTGATCCTGGGATGAGCTACAGGAGGCATCTCAATATTCATTTAATAGACGATAATAGCAGCACTCATTAACTGCCTACTGTTTGCCAGATACTGTGCTGGACACGATGGGGATAGAACGGCAAGCAAAACAGACAGGGCCTGCCTTCACAGGCCATACCCTCCACCACACCTCGGTAACGGTTATGAACTGCGACATGTGTGGCAAAGGGAATATCCAGGTGCTTAGCAAGTGGCAGAGAGGCCTGATCTGGTCTTCTGGCAGGGATAGGAGCCAACAGGGTAAAAGAAGCTGGAGGTGGGGCACATTCTACAGAGAGAAGAGCCTCAGTCAAGCTCTGAGACAAAAGGACTCAAAGGCCAGTGTGGCTGGAGCACAGGGCGTGAGCTCGTGCCCGACACCCTCAGGTTTCCAGCCAGAGCAAGAGAAATCAAGTGACCAGAGGTGGTCTGGTGAGCCTGGGAGCAGTACTATGAGGGGACTGGTGTTGAGGGGTCTTTCCACATGGGCTAAGGGGAGGCCGGATGGCCCGTCCTGGTTCTGCAACAGAGAAAGCAGAGGCAGGCTGCCAAGAGCGCCCTCCGGTCCCAAGGTCAGGCCACACCCTTCCCCACTGTTCTCCACTTTCTTTAGGAATGGGGATATACTCAGCTAATCTGTGGACTTGGGCAAATGGTTGTGTCACTTGATTCATTCACGGAGTCTTATCTATCACAGATGGGGACTATATTAAAACCAACTCTGTGGGGCTACTGGGAAGATAAACTTACAAAACATATAAGCGTCACATAGTAGCAACTACTTAGAATATTATTAAGGTGACTTTGTTTACATGCTTAGTGATTAAAAGAAGAAGCTGTTCTGTTTGACTCCCACCCCAGCATAGAACAAGGTGACTCTGGGGAAGTAACTAAGCCCCTCCGAGCCTCAGTCTGTTACGTGGGAGTGTGGCAGGAAGCTTCCAGGGTGGCTCCCAGTGATTCTGGCCTCCTGGTAGTGACACCCTTGTGTAGGCCCCTCTACCTGTGTGCGGGCTGACCCAGAGGCTTGCTTCTAATAAACAGAATACCACGAAAGTGATGAGAAGTCACTTGTGAGATTATACTGTGACCTCCATTTTTAAAAAAAGCCCCAAAGTTTATCTACCTGATCACTGCCCCAAGCACGCAGTCCCTCCCCCTAATCTCCCAAGGCTGTCCCGCTCCATCTTCTCACCGTGGACCCAGAATTCCGTACACTTGCTCATAATTTGGCCTCCCTAGACATTTGAGAACTTAAGATAAACAGAACACCCAGAAGAACGTACAGAAGCTTAGAATAATGACGAGTAAGATTCAGTTCAATCAATCAACAATGTACTTTGTACCTACTATGTGCCTGCCTGAGACACTGTCATGGGTGCTGGGAGGCCACAGTGATGAGGGCAACTGGGATGGCCATGGTGAGGAATTTCAGTGAGGGTTCCAGGAGCAGATACAAATGAGTGTCTGAAGAAGGGTCTGGGAGGAAAGATGATTCTTAGCTGGGAAATTCTGCAAACGACCTCAGTTATAACAGCTGTCATTTACTAAGTCCTTGTTTTGTATTAGGTGCTACACAGATACAATTATTAATCCTCGGAACACCAATCACTTCAAAGTAGGTGTTTTTGTTTGCTAATGTAGACCCTGAGGCCCTGGGAGAGAAGGAAGTGACAGGCCTCAGATTACGAAGGAAGGGACGGTGTGTGGAAGGGACAGTGTGTGGAGCTGTGATCTGAATCCGGGACCCGCTCCAAAGCCCAAGCAAGGTGTTAGTACTAAGCTTCCTACCACTGTCCTTTTCTTTTCTTTTTTCCCAATAGGGAAAAAGAGGAAGAGGTAAGGAAAGATAATTATGAGGCAGCACAACAAGCTTTCCAAAAGGTTCAGGGTTTCAAAGATACAGATAAAGGCAGAAGGAGACCCAGATGACTCCGATAAAACACGGACTGTTGTGCTTCAGAGAGTGCTCCGCTCACGTGAACTCGCTCACGGCGACCAGTGAGTGGGGGGTGCTGTCGGCACAAGGCAGAAGTCCTGTCAGTCCCTGAGCAGATTTCCCAGCTTCATGTCTGATGTTCTACACCTACAGAGAATCTTTCAGCAATATCAAAAGACCTTAAGAAACATAAAATCCAACAGAAGGGCCCTGGCAGGTTAGCTCAGTTGGTTAGAGTGTCATTCCAATAGGCCAAAGTTACAGGTTCCGTTCCCATCCAGGACATGTACAAGAATCAACCAATAAATGCATAAATACGTGGAATGACAAATAGGTGTTTCTCTCTCTCTCCCCTCTTAAAAATCAATAAAAGAAAGAAAGAAAGAAACAAACAAACGGCCCTGACCAGTGTGGCTCGGTTGGCTGGGCATTGTCCCACAAAGCGAAAGGTCGCTGGGGTTTGATTCTGGTCAGGGCACATGCGGATTCGGTCCCTGTGGGGCACGGACAAGAGGCAGCCGATCGATGTTTCCCTCTCACATTGATTTTTCTCCTCCCCCTCTCTAAAATAAATAAATTTAAAAAAAGAAAAGAAAAACAAAGTTCACTAGAAGTGCCTTCCTCGGATGCAGTAATCGGTTGGTTTCCCCTTTAACAAGCCGTCTGGTGAAGCGGTATGTACACATGAAGGAGGTACAAAGACATTTACCTCTACGAAAACCATGGATTAACGAAGAAGGCAGACCCTGTATCTGATTGTTAGTTCTGATGAACAACTTCACTCTGCTGGCGGTGAAAGCTCTCTGGAACCCACTTCTAAAAGGAGGGGGCGCAGACCGCAGGACACAGTAGGCAAAGGGCTAACAGAGACTTGAGGTTCAGATGCTGGCGGAGGTTTAACTGTCATTATTTCAACTGAGATTGTTGTTGTGAGTTTAGGGTTCTCCTTACAGAGTTTCGTAAGTGTTGAGGGTTAGCCCTAATCCTGTCTCTCCTGTAAGCCCATTTTCAGTAATGTAATTTCAGAATGTGAGTCTTTTAAAAGATGCACATCAAATTTTACAGCAGAAATGCCTATATTAAAGGCTACCAGAGACAGAGAAGAATAGTGTCAGGAAGCTCTATGTAGCTCAAGCTGGCAAACTTAACAAGAATTATATTTGGAGCAAGAACAGGGAAAGGGCTAAGCGTGCTGTTTGGGCCTGAAGATGCCGGGCTGGAGGAAACAGAGAAAGCAGCATTCCTCCAGCCCTTTTAGCCTCTGTCCCTCGTCAGAGAGAATTCTTTTTGCACAAAAGGGGCAGCAGGAGCTTGGAGATACGGGGAAGTAAACTTAAGAGAAGGAATGCAACCCAGAAAGCACCAGACTAAACTAAAGGGAATCCAGGTAAATGACAGCCCAGGGCACTGAAAGAACACAGACTAGATCACTGCCGGTGACGCGGCAGCAACTGAGAACAAGACAGGGTCAGGAGCCTGATGAGCCATAGAAGGAAGGTGGGTTCCTTCACACATCAGGAGCCAGTACGGGACCACAGTGAGCAAGCAGCTCAGGCAAGCCACGCAGCCTTCTTAGACCGGGAGTCCGGGCTCACAGAGAAAGTAAAAGTTAATTCAACAAGCATTCCTTGACCTTGTACTCTGTGCCAGGCTCTCTTCTAGGCTCTGGGCCTAGATCAGCAAGCACAACAAACGACAGCCCACGCCTGCAGTTCCTCAGATGATCCAACAGAACTCACCGTATGACCCAGCAATTCCACTTCTGGGGATATAACCAAAATAAAGGGAAGCAGGAACTCAAACAGATGTC